TATGGCTGTTAAACACATGTCGTTCGTCGAGGCTAGGAGGGTAGTTGAAGGAGAAAGACGTGGGGCTCCAAAGAACAATGACACCAGTTTTCCCGGCGGAGTTACTTCAGTGACGGATCAAAATAAAGGGGCTTGGAGGCATATAGCAGCGGGCTATCAAAATACTAGACCTGAAGTAGCATCTAGAGGTACAAGAAACATCGACGTACGTGGTAGTCAAAAAGGAGTCATGAAAGAAGATCTCGAGAAGCTGATCCAAGTCATTTCAAAAATACCAAATGCTGATACTTTGCTGTCAAGGATCTGGAGAACTGTTTCATTACATTTGGAAGTGGAGACCGTAGATAGTTCTAGTGCGATGACTCGAGAGGGGCTCGAAGAGTCACCGTCAACGTTAACTTCTTGCTAATCATCGTTATGGGTAGTCAGTCTACAAGTATCAAGTTTTTATAGTGGAATTGCCAAAGTATCAATCAGAAGAGAGGTGAATTTGCTTATAGAGCTAAAGATTTTGACGTTATTGCACTCTCAGAGACGTGGTTAAACCGTACAGACAATTTTTCTCTTACTAATTTTGATGTCATAAGAGAGGATAGAAGCAATAGAGTGGGTGGAGGTGTGGCCATCTTGGTGCGGAATAAACTCAGGTATCAGGTAGTTAATGATATATACGACTGCAATGACCTCCAGACTGCCTTATATCGGTGCTAGAGTGGGAAAAATTTTTCTTACAATTTAATGGTCGCTTTCTCATTATGGGGGATTTTAACGCTCATCATAGTTATTGGGGAGATAGCCGTAATTTGGTAATGGGAAATAGAATAGTCGATGCAATGGAGTCTTCTAGAGCCCAAGTTTTGGATACGGGTAAGAAAACCTTTTGCTCTCGTCAATATTTAACTGAGTCTGCAATCGATTTATCACTGTCAGACAGTCAGACGCTTTTATCTTGTGATTGGAATGTAGGGGACGACCCATGGGGTAGTGATCACTATCCCATATTTATTGAATTGAGTGTTAAAACAGGAAAAAGGGATAAAGTGAAAGATAGAACTCGTCTGTATACCCTCAACACTGATTGGAAGGTTTTTGCCGATAGAGTAGAGCATAGGCTGTTAAATATTCAGTCTTCACAACATAGAGAAAAGAAACTTGATAGTCAGATCAGTTATTCCTCGTTTATCAGTATCCTTCAAGAATGTCTTGAGAATAAGAATAATCAGGGGGGTCGTGCTAATTCACAGGCCTTAATCCAAGACGTAAAAGTAACCCTACATGTGTGTGGTGGAATGAAGAATGTAGTAGACTCATAAGACTCAGGAAAGCTGCCTTGCTTAAGTTCAAATTCGATAGTAGTGCGAGTAACTTCATTGCTTATAAAAAGGCGGAAACCAATGTTAAAAGTGGACTCAAAAAAATTAGACGAGAAAGTTTTAGGAATGTTTGTTCAGGTTTAACTAGGTTTACCAATCCGTCGTATATTTGGAAGAGAATCAAGTGCTTTCAGAATAAACAGACTTCATCAACGAGGAAGAAGGAAGTCAAGCCAGAAGTTCTTGATAGAGTTCGACAAGCTATTTCTTCGTTGTGCCCTCCGTGGGCTTCAACCTCAATCCCGCAGCTTCAAGACTGTGGTGATGAATTTTTGGATCTTCCTTTTTTGATGGAGGAATTAGAGTATGCGTTAGCTTTCGTTCGAGTCAGAGCTAGCCCAGGTATTGATAAAATAGACTACAGAATTCTTCGAGAACTCCCAATGATAGCTAAGCAGGAATTATTACGTCTTTTCAATGAGATTTTTTCAACTGGAAGTTTTCCGGATGAATGGAGGAGATATCGTATTTTTTTTATTTCAAAAGGCGACGGTAAAGGAGTGAGACCAATCTCACTAGCTTCTTGTGTTCTTAAGGTGCTAGAGCGTATGATAAACAACAGACTGAGCTGGTGGTTAGAATATAATGATCTTTTGCCTTCTTCTCAATTTGGTTTTCGAAGGGGGAAGTCATGTATTGATAATTTAGCGATACTTACCTCTGAAATTCTTTCGGCATTTGAAGATACCGAGTCGGTAGTAGCGGCTTTTATTGATATAAAGAGTGCTTACGATAATGTGTTGGCAGATGTCCTCATTGAAGGACTCCAGGAAATTGGCATTCCAAGGCTTACTTTACAATTTATCTACAATCTAGTTGCAGCTAGACATTTAGAATTTAACTTTGAAGACATAAATGAATCTTTCTGGTGCTATCGAGGCCTTTCTCAAGGAAGTGTACTGAGCCCATTGTTGTACACTCTTTATACTCGTAAATTGCGGATGACACGTGTTTTTATGTCAGATCCAAATCAGTTCCAAGAGCGATCAGAATTCTGGAAGAGGCTATTTCAGTAGGAAATAGTTTTTTAAAGGCTAGTGGGCTGGAAATTGCTCCCGATAAAAGCAAATTGGTTGTTTTTGAAAAGGAGGGACTCAGGTATAACTGGTCCCTTCAAATTGGTGATAAAAGCATAGTTTCTTCTTGTACGGTCAAGTTCTTGGGAGTGATCTTGGAGGAGTCTTTAAGTTGGATCCCCCAGATAGAGGCAATATGTTCTAAATGTCAGAATCCGTTGGCAATAATCAGTTGTTTAAGGGGTACTTGGTGGGGTGCCGACCCTATGGTGCTAATGAGATTATATAGAGCTTTAATTAGAGCTAGGATAGAGTATGCTGCTTTCTTGATGTGCAATGTACCAGATAAATATATGGAAGCTCAAGAACCACCTCTTGAGTGCAGGTTCAGATATTTAGGTAGAAATTATATTTCTAGAGTGTTTACTAGTAGCAGTCACCAGCTTGTACCGATTCTCGAGGGGTTGTTGTCTTCCTGGGAGAGGGTAACGGTTGTACGCCGTAACAAGATGCCAACAATTATAGAGTGCTATCAAGATATAGACAAAGTTGGGCACTTATTGGAAGCCTCTAAAATTTCTTTATGTTTTAAGTATGAGTATCAAGCACTCTGGTTTGATCCTGCAGTCTCATTTGAAGAAGGGTATAGAATCAAAGAGTCTAAAGATAAGAACCGTGAATTTGATAAGATATTTAGAGATCTGTTGGAAGAAGCAGAGTGGTTTTTTACTGATGGGTCAAAGATGGAGGGCAAACCTTTTGTAGGGCTTGCAGCAGTAAGAGGGAATGATGGGACAACGTTTAAATGGCGTACCACGACGTTCGCATCAATTTATTCAGCAGAAGCTTTAGCCATCATAGAAACGATGATGCTAATATCTCAGTCTGAAAGGACAAAATTTGCTATCTTTGCAGACGCTCGGGGTGTTTTGCAGGCTATTAAAATGAAGCCAAAGATAAATACAGGGTCGTATCTAATCACGCGTATCAAAGAGCAACTGTTATGGTTAAAAGCTAGAGGGAAAATAGTCGAGTTTTGGTGGGTTCCGGCTCACGTGAATCTTGAACATAATGAGAAAGCAGACTCTGCAGCTAAAAGCGCCATTTATACAGGTAGAGATTCTCAGGTATTGTTGCCTTTGGGTGATTTCAAGGCAGTTTGGAGGGTAAAGTTAAAAGAAGAAGCTTTTAGCTGGGCTAAGCAAAGAGCTTATGTTGAGAATAAGGGTAAAATGTATTTTGATGATTACGCTGTTAACACTTCCAAATGATGGTTCAGTAAGTTTAAGCTCAATAGAAGATCGATGGTGTCGATTAGTCGGCTAAGATCTGGGCACACCTCGCTTAACTCTAGCTTATATCGATTTAAAATTGTAAAGTCTCCTAATTGTGAATGCGGTGAGGAGGAAAATGATGAACATGTTTTGTGGCAATGCCCATTATATGAGGACCAAAGAAAATTTTTAGTTAAGAACTTAATTAAAATGAAGGTTTTTCCTCCTTATAGCATCAAACCATTTTTGCAAACTATGTCAATTGGTATTGTTTCAGAGTTATGTCGATTTATTATGAGTGTTTTGTAAACTGTAAACTAAAGATCTCATTGTGGTTAAGATGGTCTCAGGGGTACTTAGTATAAGAGATGTCAGTATTGTTTAGGATGTAAGGTAAATATTGTTAAAGGAATCTAAAAGTCTATTCTGAATTTGTATTTTTGTAAAACTAGTTTTGTACTGTAGAGGGCAGAGTGGACGCAGTCCGAGCCCATATTTTTCTTCAATAAAAAAAAAAATATATATATTCCTGTTCACCAGTTCAATTATCCTGTTTACCAGTTCGATTAAAATATGTTATCAACAAAAAAAATTAAATTATTAAGAGAATAATGAATTAATGAATTGTTTGTAATAATAATAGAATTCATTGTTTGGTTTTCAACACAATTTTTAAAATTATTTTAACCCAAATTTTTTTATAGTAGTAAATGCTGCCATCTTCTGCTTCGCTTTGGTAACAAGTTGAATTACTTTCTTTTTTACCGACATAAAATATCGTACCAGCCATCGTTTTTCGTGGTGGACTGTAATTAAAATTTCTGGTTACAAAATAATTTTGCTTTATGTTCATTCATTACATATCTAGAGAGCAAATAAGATGAATAATTTCAATTAATAAAGCATTCTGTATGATTAGAATTATTCAGTAGATATTTTAAATCGGCAATACAATATTTGGAATGAAAAATAAACTTAAATAAGACAGTTAGAATATAAAATATTCAGAATGTCTAATAGATTGATTTGAATTACGCGGGTAAGCAAACTGTCGCAGAATGAACACGAAACGGGGACAGGTCTTACGCTCCTTTCTTGGGGATACAGATCTTCTATATATTATCTCTTTTCTCTGTTATTACCAGAGAGAAGTCTTTTTTCTCTGGTTATTACATAGAATTTCGGCCTTCATTTTTGGCCTCGGGACGGGATTTGTCATGCCACCTTGTGACGACTGAGCACACTTCAAAACTTTCTTACCGCCACACATCAGATAATAATCAGACATCTTTTGAGAGATTCTAGAACTTTGTTTAAAAATGTATTTGATCATGCTCTGTTACGATTTTCTCTGAAAGAAGGAGCCCACGATTACATAAGTATCACATTACGTCACATATTTTCCTATTATTTGAAGTATATCGTTTACTTATGTACTATAATTGCACTGTATTTTATTTTTTTTTCTAAAAATACCTTGCCATGATTGATTTTATTCTAATGTGAACTAATGTGTCAGTAAAAATAAGTCGATAATTTTTAGATTTGTCGAAATTGCTTTATACTCAGGTTAATTTTTAATTTGTCAAATTTACAAGGACCCTTTTTACAGTAAAAGCAATTCCGACAAGTCGATCGAGTGAGACTGCAAATACAAAAAAGCCTGTAATTCTATTTAATTTATCTACAACAGGTCAATTATTTTTGTTCATTACAAATATTTACTGTTATTTAACAGCAGTAACAGATAATTATGTTCGGTAATTGGCATTCATTGGATTTCACTTTAAATAACCCTTCTGATTGGATTATTCTAATGTTATTTTTCAATTTAGGTTGTTGTTGGTGTTGCTCTGCACTGAGACCCAGATATAAAAGACTTGTTGATAATATATTTCCAGTTAATCCTCAAGTAAGTTTTCATAATATTAATCAATACTTCGTTATCATTCTTTTTCACGTAGCTAATTAATTATTTTTATTCTAGGATGGGCTGATAAAGAATAATATGGAGAAGTTAACATTCTATTCATTAAGTAGTCCAGAGAAACTGGATAGAATTGGTGAATATTTATTCCAACGAGCTTCTAGAGACATTTATCGAAGAAGAAATGGATTTGTCATAATTGCTATGGAGGCTATGGATCAGTTATTGCTTGCTTGTCATGCACAAACTCTCAATTTATTTGTCGAAAGTTTTCTAAAAATGATCCAAAAGCTGCTAGAATCTACAGATTATCAATTGCAAATTCTTGCCACACAATCGGTTAATATATTAAATTAGTATAAAAATTTAATAATATAATTTTGACGACTAAATTTGATAAAACTTTTTATTTGTTTTACAGTTTGTGCGCTTTGCTAATATCGAAGAAGACACCCCTTCTTATCACACGCGCTACGATTTCTTTGTCTCAAAGTTTTCAGCAATGTGTCATTCAAATTGTGATGATTTAGAGATTCGTAAACAAATTCGACTTTCTGGTATCCAAGGTTTACAAGGTGTTGTAAGAAAAACTCTTTCTGATGATCTAGTAGAAAACATTTGGGAGTCTGTACATATGGATAAGATTGTTCCATCGCTTCTCTATAACATGCAGAGTGCAAAGTAATAATTTTGTTTAGTTGACAGTTTTTCTATATTATCTCTACATACTAATATTTATACTTGCTAGATATATCGATAGAAAAAATGGTGCACCAGAAATGCCAACGGAAGAAAGATCAGATCCACCCTTATTCGCAGAAACATGCATGAGAGAGCTCGTAGGTAGAGCATCTTTTGGACATATTCGCTGTGTTATTCGACCTGTGTTAAGACATTTAGACAACCACCAATTATGGGTTCCAAACAGTTTTGCTATTCATACATTCAGAATAATTATGTTTTCAATACAAGTAAGTATCAATATTTGTTACTAACAAATTATTGATTAATGTATTCAACTTTGATTATTCTGTCCTTTGTAGTCTCAGTATTCTTATACGGTTGTCGAAGCCTTGATGACTCATCTTGATGAAAATTCGAAATCTTCCCCAAAAATAAGAACAAGTATTGCTGACACTTTGTCAAAGATTATTGCTACCGCTGCTGGAGAGAGTGTAGGACCTTCAGTATTAGAAATTATTAACTCTTTGCTGTCCCATCTCCGCATCAGTGTAACAAGGAATCAATATTCCAGTAACGATGAACAACTTTATCAAGAAGCTTTAATCAATGCTTTAGGAGAATTCGCCAATCATCTTCCGGACTATCAAAAGATTGAAATAATGATGTTTATTATGAGTAAAGTTCCATGTAGTCAACCAGACCGGGGTAATACCGTCGGAAAAGGAGATGTTTTGTTACAAAGTATTCTGTTAAAATCGTTATTAAAGGTAACGTCATAATAAATTACTTTAAAAATCATTTAAGCTACGTCGAGCATTTTTTCAGGTTGGTACAAAATATCAAACAATTCATTTAAATACGACCTTCCCTCCAAGCTTCTTGGAACCTCTTTTACGAATGTCATTAGTAGCTGATGCTGAAATGAGGCTTTTAGTGCAGAAAATATTCCATACTTTAATTGACAGACATCATAATATTGACAAGCTTGCAAGAGCATCAATAAATGTATCAGAGCTTGGTTTACTTATTAATAAGTCATCTCGTCCAGACGTGATATTTATTCGAAAGCATGGACCAGAGATTTATTTAGCTCTTTATGAATCACTTGAACTTCCTAGCAATGTTGTAGAAAATATTGAAGCAATATACACGACTCTGGCCTTACTAATTGTTGAATTAGCTTCTGAAGAAACTGTTCTTGAACAGTTAAGACTTATCTTGAGTATTCAAGATCTTGCTTTAACAAGCCATCAATTAAATCCATCTTTGAAATATAACTTGCATACAATTGTTGTATGTTTGTTAGTTCTGATATCTACTGTTTGTAATATCACATCTCTTTTCGACTACACCAGTAAGGTATATACATAAATATTAATAGAACACACTTGAAAATGCTGACGTCAAAATATGTCTTTAATATTAAATTATTGTTCTTTAGATTATTGAAGTACGTAGGAAAGAATCACATTTATTACCTCCACTAAGATCTCAATATGACAGCGAAATATCAGGAAGAATATCTCCAGCTGTTTTGGTTGAACAAAGTATTGTTATTGAATGTCTCAAAACATCTGGTTTTGATACTGGAAAGTTACAGCAAGGAGCAGGATATAACAATAATGCTCTACAACATAGACATTCTTGGGTTGAAACAGCAGGAAGAAATTCCATTGCGGACATTAATGCTGGAAGTGTCGAGTTAGAAAGTGGTGGATCATCACCAGGAGTTCAGAAAGTAAGATGAAAAGTTTAGATATTTTTTAGACTATTTTTATATTTTTTTTAATTGACAAACAAACTAATTGATTTTTTATCGTTGAAAAACTAAAGTGAAATAATTTTTCAATGATTAAAATTGAAGTTAGTCTGTCTTTATGATTACATAAAAGCTACATTCTTGAACTAAATAACAAAGTCATCAATGATTCTCTTTCTATAAATGTTTATTGATGACTAAGATTCCATTTACTGCCGAGAGTTATCTTTATTGATTATAGGAGCTATTTAAAAGAAGCAGTAACCATTATATAAGCATATGTTTTTCATTTATTTTATCCTGACTTGAATTAATATTTTCAGAAATTAGTCGTTGAAGAATTAACATTTGAGAGTATGAAGAAAATCTTAACTGAGTCAACACACAACCAAAATGTAGAAGAAGAAAGAAGAACACAACTTTCGGAGTATTTCAGGAGTGCTCCATTCCATGATTTAGTATCCAAGACTCAGCCTCATGTATGTTTCCGCATTCATTTTTTTTCTTTTATATATACTTTGTTGATAAATACAAATATTAATTTTAACATTTTATTACAGCATGAAGTATTACAGAACAAACTTTCCGATATTTTCAATTCATTAACAATTGAGCCAAAAAATTTATCTCAGCAAAGTATTCAAACTACAGACGTGAAGTCGAACAATATACCATCTTATGAAATTCACTTTCCTGAATTATTCGTATATTAAATTTTACGTTTTTTCAGTTTTTATTATTATATAAATTATTTATTTATATTGACAATGTTATATTTAATTATACGGTAGTCGGATGGGCAAAAAAACTTTTATTTATTCGTTATTTATTGTAATAATATAAGCTTAATCTAATTTGTTGAGCGATTTCCATTAATTTTGCAGAATCATTTTTATATTGAAAAAAAAAAAGAAATATATTTTGTAAATAAGCACTTCTTTGCTATTAAATGATAAAGGTTTTTATTTTGTTGAAACTATATATTTCGAAAGCAAATTTTATGTCTTGTAAAAAGAAAATATTTCAAAATTGTATTTTGGAAGAACTGTAAGATAAAATAAAATTCATCCAGCATTATAACTTTTTCTCTGTTAAATAGATTTAAAAAATTTATGAAGCAATTACTGTTAATAATGTAATATTATATGTTGCTCCAGCATGCTGTTCAATGACTCACTTGTTGTAAAATGTAATTATTCATCGACTATGTAATGCTCTGATAATAGTGATTGATCTCTTTCTTGAAAAACTATGTTACAATTATATTGATGATTGAAAGAATTAAAGATATTAATAAATGTGATGAAAGGTTGTATTAAAAAAACCACTTTTAATTATTGAGCCAATATATAATTTTAATTTAAAAACCACAGTTAGTAATCAATTGCAAATTTGGTACGTGAAATACTTATGTTTATTGACAATCATCAGTCAATGAAACCAGTTCAATACAAAGTTAATTAATGATTTTATGTGAAACATTTCAATACCTGTAAACAGAGCATTAATGTAAAAGTCTCAGAAATTGTTATTGTTATTTTTGTTATATATTGTAGACAATTTTGTAAAAGTTCAAAATTTGTGTTGACAGAGTTTCACCGCAAAAATCGTAATTAAATTATAAAATGATTTGAAAAATTAATAGCAAAAAATTTGTTTGATGAATGTTACATTAATCAACAGAAGTTTATGAATAAATGCATTAAATACACATATTCGATGTTTGTCATAAGAACCCCAATATGAAGTGATTGTATAATTTGTAGTATATAACACTGAAAAAAGTGTAATAATAGAAAGGTGTTTTGTATAGTTTGTTTATTTAATATTGATATTTCAGTGACTTGTTAGGTCAAAGATAGGCTTTATTGTACTTTAAGGCTGCACTTTAATTAATTCCACATCGAAGATAAGGGTAGCATTTGGCGGAATAGTGTATTTCTGTTAAGGATCATATAATACAAGAAAATGAAAAAAATATAGGTAATACTGGTATTACTTATGAAATTTTAAATATAAAAAGGATATATTCCAGGATGTCCTTTGCTTCCATATGCAAAGTCCGGAGAACAAGTAAGTCTTGCACGTTCTCCGACAGACATTTGGGCAACTCCTAGATCCCAACCTTTAATGACTTCTCCTTTACCTATTTTGAATTTAAATGGTACTCCATGATCCCGGCTAGAGTCAAATTTTTGGCCATTGGTGAGAGTACCTAAAAAAAGTAAAGGTTTTATAAATGTCCATTGATTAATTTATACTAAAATATTTAACAAAAAAGTCAAAATCATTTTATTATTTTTCGAGGACTTCTAGTTGTTGGAAAAGATCAATAAGCGTTGAGGTTAAGCTGTGATCTACTTTTGGAAAATGTAATACACTCCAGTATTTTTCCCCCCTGCAAACTCCTATCTATCCCTGTTCAAATCTTTTTTCAGAGTAGTTAGAGGTCTAAAGTTTATCTGAGCCCCGGGTGCGAAGAGCAGGGTTGATAATTTAATTATTTTTCTGTTTAATTCACGTTATAATAATTTTGAACATCAGAGTAAAAACACTATTATTGTCAATTTTATTTATTCAATCATAGCTAATCAGAGATAATGAACTTCAAAAAAGCTTTAAAAATTATTTGAAAAATTTAGAATTTCATTAGAAAAATTTTTTTTTGCTTTGATTTGAAAAGTCAATAATTCCTCTGTTGCAGCTTGAAAGAACTGAAGTAAATAATACCTCACATGCACTACTGAGTACAGACTAAGAGTTGGACTTTTTCACAGTTGAATGAATGTCTATAATAGTCTGAAAAAAATTTACATGCAGTCAATTTTAGACAAGTTAACATTCTTGAATGAACTGCTCTGAATTATTCAAAGGGAATTATTATAAAAATATTATTGTTGCGTTGAAAAAATATGACTATTTAGTAATTAATTATTGTACTAAAATTCCTGCACAAAACTATCATGTTCTATTCCAAAACAAATACAATTATTCTATAGCAGAAAGTTTATAAATTACAGGAGTCATGTTTATCATGGATAAGCACAAGTTAATATACAGAATATTATAGTTACTGTCACTCAATTATAAACTCGATATATGTATTTGAATTATTAACTTACCTGTATAATGGACGACCACTGTTTGTCCAGTCTTTGGATATGTTTGACCTATATGAAAAATATTAAGTAATTGAAGCTTTAAAATGAGAACGAAAAAATACAAACAATTAATGTAATGGACTAAAATATAATTACATCAGTAAGAAAATATTATAACTTCATAAATATGACGTTACTAATGATCGAATTTCACTTTCGGCATGCATTGCTGAATTTGAATTAACTGATCGAGTATCTTTTTGTATGACGATATTTTTTCATAAATTAAAAAGAAATATTTAAAATGGACTCAATGAAATAACAAATAATATAACCATAAAAGATAATTACCGTCGCCGGGAGATATTACTTCGACATCTACTCCCATGATTTCTTTCGTATTTATTAAAGTGGATAGTGCCGATGCAGAATATAGATTACAAGTAGTAGATTAGAATACGTTTAGACGCTTTCCATCCAAAATAACGTACATACAGGGTTGCCAGAAAATAAAGAGGAAATTAGCGCCACTCGTGAATAAAAGTTGCGCAAAATTCAATCAAGTCACTCAATCTCAACATCCAATAGGTTGCATTCTCATATCGCGCAAAATTTAAATTTTTATAATCTAAAAATCTATCATTTACATACAATAATGGTATTTATTTGTAATAAAAAACCATAAAATTTTTATAATAAATTATTGTTGTAATAAATTTATAATTTATACTAATAAATAAATCAGTCACCATCTTAATGATAAAATAGCATGAAATTTAGTTTTGCAAACTTTTTATGAAATATCCAGACTAATAAATCATATTCTTATCTTCAGAGTTTCTAATCCATTTTCCAATTCATAACTAAATAATTATTTCTCAAGTGTGAAATGAAATTTAATGGATTCGAGAATAAAGTGCTCCAATGTAACTTGAGCAATTACAGCGCGCGTAATATGAATCGTCAATGTATATCGAACGAATTGTAAGAAAAATTTATATGGATTAGATAAAAATATTTTCGGAATTTCTATTCATGATAAAAATGAAAAATATCTCTAATTGCGATTTGTAGCCAAAATCAAAATTTCACCGCAAAAAATTCCAATAAATATCTCAATTTGGCAACCCTGTGTACATATAGCTCGACAGGTGAGAGTGTCTTTTCAAGTATAGCGGAATAGCAAGAGTACTTATCGGACTCCTCAACATCTCCCACTACTCGACCTTTAGATCCTATTATATTATTCGACATTGGAATTAATCATTTTGATTTCATTATTTCTAAAAACCAATCACAAGCATTTAATACTTATGGATCTGTTGCGCTATAGGTTCGCGAAAAATATTTTAAAAATATCAATACAGTTTTAATTCACCAAATTTATTTATAAAAAATGTGAAATTCAATATTATTTTTTATTAAAAACATTTTTTTAAGAATGTCAAACGTTACAGTTTACGCAATTTTTATATTCATATTACGCCACCTATATGCACACTTCATTTTTGACGATGCCACTAAATTCAACTAATCAATACAAAGTTACAAACATAATAATGATACATATATTTTTTAATAATATAAACTTTAAAAAAATATAAGTTAAAGTAAAAATGGAGCTTTATACTGCACTTTGTTGGTTCAGAATAAGAGAATTTGATAAATGTACAGAATTATGTACAAATTTACTAAAAAAAAATCCTAAAGATGAGGTAAAATAATATTATTGATCTCTTCTGATATAATACATAAATTATTTTTTAATTATTCAAAAATAATTTTATCTATTAATTATAGGCTGCGTGGCTTTTAAAAATGCGTGCCTTAACATCACAAGTTTATGTTGATGATTTAGAAACCGAAGAAGAAAGTATTGCTGAAACTTTCTTCGATAATTATACAATTGCAGAAATACCAAGACCAGGAACATCATTGAGAAATCCAGCAACTTCTTACGAAGGCCAAGGAATCCGTCCAAAAACTCAATCAGGTAATGGTTCCTTTACTGTAAACAATTGCTCTCCAATTATATTACTTGATGAAATGAATTTGTCATATAGGAAGACCTGTTACTGGTGTTGTGAGACCTATGACCCAAGGTGGAGCAGCAAAAAGTATGGAACAAGCGTTAAGAACCGCTAGAACAGCAACCGCGAGACCAATTACAACGGCCTCAGGACGTGTTGCAAGGTAAGTTGAATGATATTCTTAATCCATTACTTACAGGCATTAATAATGATAATACTGATAATAATGAGCAATGAAGATAATTACACGTTCATTTCTACAGATTAGGAACAGCTTCTATGATGTCAGATCCCAATGGATCTTTTATTGAATTATCAAGATTGAACATTCAAAAGTATGCAAAAAGGCAAGAGATAGCAAAACCACTTTTTGAATATATATTTTATCATGAACATGATATAAGGATGGTAATTTCAATTCTATTTTTTTTATATAATAATTTTATATATTGAATAAAATGTAAAATTAATTTTTTTAAATATACTTTAGGGTCTGGATTTTGCCATTCTAGGAGTACAAGCAACTGAGTTCAAAGACTGGTGGTGGAAATTTCAAATGGGCAAGTGTTACTATATGCTTGGTCTTATAAGAGATGCTGAAGAACAATACAAAATAGTTCTAAAAGAGCATAAGTCTATTGATGTTGTATTAAGATTAGTTAGGGTGTATGTTCGTCTTGATCAGCCAATAGCTGCTTTAGATTTATGTAAACGTGGGCTTGACTATTTTCCTAATGAAGTGAGTAGGGTAAAATTATACTTCTTCTTCTCCTTAATTGATCAAATTATTGATACAGGTCATGATAATGACTGAAATGGCAAGAATTTTTGAAGGGTTAAATAATACAACAATGTCACTGAAATTTTATAAACAAGTGGTTCAAGAAGATGGTGCAAACATAGAAGCAATCGCTAGTATTGCAATGCATCATTTTTATAATGATCAACCGGAAATTGCTATGGCATTATATCGGTAATGTTCTGCTAATTATTCAGAGTAATTTCCTTTATTTTTATCAATATAAATAATAATATTCAATCATAGGAGATTGTTTCAAATGGGTCTTTACAATGCAGAGATTCTTACCAATCTGGGTTTGTGTTGTTTTTATGCACAGCAATATGATCATACTATTTCATGCTTTTTGAGAGCACTTCAAGAAATAAATGAAAAAAATGCTCCTGATGTTTGGTATAATATTTCACACATTGCAATTGTTCGTAGTTTTATTTCAATTATTTCATCTTGTTTTTTCTGGAAATTAATAAACCAATTGAACGTAACATTTCAGGGTCGAGGAGATTTAATTATGGCCGAAGAGTGCCTTCGAATAGCAATAACGCTAGACAATAGACATGCAATTTCCTATAATAATTTAGGTATACTTGAATTAAAAAAAGGAAATCTCACAGCTGCTAAAACTTATTTTGTATCAGCGGCTTCGATTGCTGAATATATGCACGAACCTCATTACAATGTTGCCTTATTATCGTACAAAGTAAATAAAATACATTTTTTTAAGAAAACGCATCTATTGATGTGCTAATAATTATTTTTTTAGCAAGGAGATTTACAAATGAGTTATAAAAGTGTGCAAAAAGCACTGAAAGCTTACCCTGGCCATTATGAGTCGAAAGAATTATACAAAAGACTCGAACCATATTTTAGTAGTGTATAAATTTTGTGAGTGCTATTAACAAAAATTTAAGTAAAATTTTGACTATTTGTTTTCAATAATGTGTTAATTTGATTAAGAAAACTAACAGTAGACAATGAAAGCTTTATACAAAAAATTTTTTCTAATATGAAAAATTTTTCAGCATTTTTCATGGATTGGATTAAACAATAGCATTGGCTATTTGATCTAATATTGACTGATTCACTGATTCTGCTAGTGATAGATTGATTGTTTGGGAGATGGAATTTAATCGTCGTTTAAAATTTTCTATGCTCTGCAGAATTAAATGAATCCTTAAGGAATAGATATCATGTTCTTGATTGAAATTTTCAAATTCATAAATGAATTGATTTATTTGCCCAATAATGTCATATTTGAAATCAGATTTGAAAGAATTGAATCGAATGACTATTGTATTATGAATTAAAATTAAATCGTTGTATTTTTTTAATGCTTGATATATCATTAATAAATCGTTATTAGCATTCTCTATACTTGTATTAATTTCTCCTGCAAGTTTGATCATTTTTTCTCCGTAATTTACAAAATGGTCATAAAATGTAACTGTATTCGATGTAAATGTTCGTAAGGCCATGATAAAATTTTCAGCTTTTATTATAAATTTTTCGCATTCCTCATGAGATATTCTTTTAACTCTGTGAGCTAATTCCAGTCTGTATCTAGAAAAGTATTTTTTAAAAATTTTCATAAATTGTAAAACACTAAAATCAAAATCAGATGAAAATTCGTTGATTCGATGAAAATTGTCATAAATAATAGACATTCCTGCTTCAATTAAATTAGCCATTATTATTTTCTAATCTAAAAGTATGTAATAAAATACATATTTCTTAATTCGATATTTTCAAATATTTCTTTGTTTTTAAATTTGTATGCTTTATTAGTGTGGCTAATACATGCAGCGACACTAACCAGTAAAACTACTATATCGGCTGTTATAGAGACAAGTGTCAGATCAACACATTAACTCAAAGAAAATAAAAACAAATAGTAATAAAACAATTAATAATTAATTATTAATTTTCAATAAAATGTCTGAAGAATCGGATTATGATACCGAATCAATGGAATGTTCTATTTATAAAAGAAAATACCAATTTTTACTAGAAAGATGTGAAGTTTTACAACAGGTATTGTTTAGTCTCATCAATTATTATTTATAGTGTTTCATAAATTATTTAATGTTAGTGTCATATTAATTGTCTCTAATTATGCAGGATAATGAGAGGCTTGTTCATCGAATTCAAAGAATAAGAAAAATTTTAAAAAGAACTAGAAAAGAAAAAAGGTACATTATGACAGGTTATGTTCAAAATATCAAAAGATTTATTTAAAAAAAATTTACTTATTATTTTAGGTTTTTAATAGATCGACTAGACAAACATGGAGATCAATGGCGAGATGCTCCAATGGGCGTTTTAGAAGAAAATAACACATTTTCAGTGGCAATAAAACCTGAAAAAGTTTCCAAATCAGGGCAAGTAGCAAAAGATGATAAAGTAAACAAAAAAGGAACAAAAAGAAAAGGAGCAAAAGCCGACCCTAATGCTCCAAAACGCCCTGCAAATCCATTTTTCCAGTTTTGTCAAGAACAAAGACCTCGCGTTATGGAAAGATTAGCTGGAGAACCAGAACCTAGTAAACAAGAATTAACTCGACAGTTAGCAACAACATGGAAATCTCTTAGCTCTGAAGATAAGAAGGTTTGTATAAAGATTTTTTAGTTATTGTATTTTATTTGAAATTCTCATTGAAATATACAACTCTTTCTTTCTTTCTTAGGTTTATTACGACATGTACGAACGTTCTAAAGAAAAATACGTTGTAGAAATGCAAAAATATCATAAAAAGACGGAAGAAATACCTACTCAAATGTCTGCTAATATATAGCGTAATAATAATTGTACTTAGATAAAATTAAAAATTTTTTTAATAAATTAATTAAAACTTATCTTTCTCTTTACGTAAAGCAGCCATAGTTTTAATTGGATCATTAGTACCAGTATGAGCCATTACCATTTGTTCATGTACCCGCATGAACGGGTTAATTTTTTTCTCTTCACCAATTGTACTCGGTACAGTTGGACTTTGTTTTTTACGTAATTCCTTAAACCAATCTAATTTTCTTTTGATATCTTCATTTCCTGGTTCAACTTTTAGACCAAACTGCAAATTCTTACAACTGTATTCGTGTCCACAATAAACTTTCTACGCAAAAAAAAGCTGCTCAGTGATGTATAACGTCATAAAACGAATAAACAATATTTACCGTTTTATCAGGAAGTGATCCCAGAATTTCACACAACGCTTTGTACATTTGTTCAGCTGTGCCTTCGAAAAATCTTCCGCAACCTCCAATAAATAATGTATCGCCTGTAAACACAACTGGAGAATCATTTTCAGATGATAAATAGTAACAAATATGATCTGATGTATGGCATGGTGTTGCCAAGCATTTTACTTTCAAATCTCCTATATCTACAATATCTCCATGCGATACTATCTTAGTAACAGCTTCGACTCTCTGATCTCCACCAAGTACTTCAATCTCTTTAAATATTTTTCTCATATCCTTGTTACCACCTGCATGATCCCAATGATGATGTGTTGTTAAAATTTTCTTAAGATTAACTTGATGTTCTTCAACCGCTGAGCTTACTAGATTTGAATTCACTGGATCGACTATTGCAGCATCGTTTGTTTTTTTATCAATTATCTAGTAGCATAAAAATAAATCACAATAAATAGTTCTCCTTCAAATAAAACATGAATACATGAATATAATAGATATTTACCAAATACATAAAATTATCATCTAATGCCGGCAAAATTTCAATAGTCATATTCTGACCTTGGACAACGGTACGTGTACTGTGCATGTTACTCAGAGAATTACAAAAAAATCTTGGAATGATGTATTTAACTGAACACGTCTATAATTATGAAATAATTAATCGTATGATTTACGTATCGTAACAATTTATACACAAAATAAGTTTAGTATTAAAAATAATTTTTAAAGATGGTATACCAATGACGATGATTTAAAAATATGATGCTTTATCAATCTACAAAAGAGCATAATAATTAATTATTAAACACATTAAATAGTTTATTACGTATTAAATAAATGTATACAATCACTTGATCAGTTTAGACTGTAGCACACGAAGCTGACGATGAAAACCTACAAGTGTTACCATGTGACGTCTGACATAACCTAATGAATACAGCGCGTTGTTTAACAACAATGTACTGAATTGCTTCTAGTACATGCAAAAAAAATAGAAAAATCAAAAATATTGAATTTCTGTAGTGTTAAAATTAATTTTTAATGTTTCAAATTAATATTTGTAATAAACTAATTAGTTATTAACCATAAAGCATTAAATAAAAAAAACATTTTTGTACATTTTATAAAGGTAAAATACATACAGCATGTTATTGACCTGTATTTTATATAAATAGAAAAATTAAATTAATTTTAATACATTATGCTTTTTAATTATTGCAGAAATGGAAGAATCTGAAATAAAGGTTATTGACTGTGAAATAAAAGAAATTGAAAAAGAAATAAGAAAACTAAATGAACGTAAAAAAGCTTTAAATAAGCGTAAAGAAAAATTAATGAATGATGTTATACGTCAAAAAAGTTTAGAAAAATCTAAACGAGATTGGAATAATAGCAATTTTCCATGGTCTAAAAAATTAAAAAGTACATTAACAGAGGTGTTAAAAATAAATAATTTTAGAGAGCATCAACTTTCTGCGATTAATGCAGTGATGTCAGGAGAAGATACGATATTAGTCATGCCAACCGGTGGTGGAAAGAGTTTATGCTATCAATTACCAGCAATAGTAATGAGAGGAATTACCATTGTTATTTCACCTCTAATAGCCTTAATAGAGGATCAAATTCATGGACTGAAAAAGCTTAACATTCCAGCAGGAATGTTGACTTCAAACAAAAGTGAAGAAGTCAAGTTAGCATGGGCTGCTCTTGACGGTAAAAACGATAACGTTAATTTAATATATATAACTCCGGAGTTTATGAAAAAATCGAAGAGGTTTATGGCTAAATTACAGAAAGTATTCAACCAGAAACGCTTGAAACTATTTGCAATTGATGAGGTTCATTGTTGTAGTACATGGGGTCATGATTTCAGACCAGATTATCAGTTTCTTGGTTGTTTAAAGGCCATGTTTCCCGGGATACCTATTTTAGGACTCACTGCAACAGCCACGACTGCTATTCTTGATGATGTTCAACAAATGTTAGATATCCACGGATCTTTGATACTCCGAGCAACATTTAATCGACCCAATTTATATTATGAAGTACGAAGGAAACCTAATGATAAGGAAAATTGTTTGGAGATGCTTGTTACCTTATTGAAAAGCCGATTTTCTGATAAATCTGGAATTATATATACAACGACAATAAAAGATGCTGAAACCTTGACAACTAGTCTTCGTGACCGTGGACTTAAGGTAGGATGCTACCATGCAATGTTAGATGCTGAAGTGCGATCAAAAATGTATAATAAATGGATCACTGGATCATACCAAGCCATAGTTGCAACAATAGCTTTTGGTTTAGGAATTGATAAACCTGATGTGCGATTCGTAATTCATCATTGTATGTCCAAGTCAATGGAAAATTATTACCAAGAAAGTGGAAGAGCTGGACGTGATGGAAAGAAAGCTACATGTATCATTCTTTATCGACTTGCAGATATTTTTAAACTCAGCACTATGGTTATTGGGGATAAGGTTGGCCTTAGAAATTTATATAAAACTCTTGATTACTGTTTGAATAGTAATGCTTGTAGAAGAAGTTTAATAGCTACACACTTCAATGAAAATTGGAGTAAAGAAGACTGTAATTCTATGTGTGATCATTGTGCGAAATCTAAAAAAACTACGTCAACAGATATAGCACCATATTGCCGTCAAATCTACAAAATCATTGATAAAGCAGCAGATACAGAAACAAATTTAACTTTATTAAAATTATTAGATGCATGGTATGGTAAAGGCACTGCTTCTTATAGGGTTTCTTCAGTTCCTGTGCCAAAATTCTCAAGAGAAGCTGCCGAAGCTATTATTGCTTTCCTTCTTATCAATGGATATCTTAAAGAAGATTTCGTATTCAATGCTTATGCTAATTTGACATATTTAGTTCGAGGTCCAGATTCTTCTTTAGTGACGGATAGTAATTATAACATTCTCTTTACTCATGATGAGACTCTTAAAATATAAAGCTTGGCATTTATAATAGTTATAATAAGATAAGGTTAACAAATGTGATGATTAAAATGGACTATTTTTTACGGTTGAATTGTCGTAGTGGAGTACCGGAAAGTTGTGGTTTCAAGTTGACCGCCACAAATCAGGTGGGATTATTGATCCTAGAAGAGCATTCATGCTGATTCGTGCTTTGACTGTCGTCCAACTTACGTCGTGTATGGCGTCATTATTTTATTCTATGAAACTATATCAATTTATAAGAGTTTTCAGCGTCTTTATTATTTAAAGTGGTTCTTCGAAAATAATCAAAAAATTTTGATGTTTGATTTTTGCTGTGCGTGTTTGTGTTATTTATTAGATAAAAATTTCAAAAAGCTATTGTAGAAATTTATACGCATACAGCGGACTGCAGTCAAGCAGAATTTGAAGATGAAATAAATAAACAAATGACTTATAATTATTAAAACTAAAAAAATTATCAATTATCTATGGATTAAAATTAACTATTAGCATTTTAATATTGAAATAGTAATTTTATATTTAAAATAACGAAAATTAATAATTGATGAATACATATGTTTGTCATAAAATGTCAGTATTTTTTAATGATTACATGAAATGAACAAAAAAAGAGTCTGTGTAAGTTGTCAATACACAGATATGTATCCAGGTTAATGTATAAATGGATGATTAGCTATTTATCTATTTAAATTATACAGATTATAAAACAATGAGCGGCAGTTTTGAATGGAATATATGCCAAAAGCTTTAGTGTTATTACTGTTTTCTACTATCACATAAAAGAATCATAAACATGGAACGAAAAAAATAGCAGTGAGTGTTTTATATATTAAGAAGAAAAAAGTTTAATCACAACGAGATGCCCCTATCAATTCTTTTGAAAAAAGCTAGCAGCTACATATTGGGTGATAGTAGCTCAAATAGTCAAAATGTTATTTACCAGGATGGAGAAGCTCTTTTTTGTAAAAATAATGTTTGTGTTCATCCGCCGAGTTTATTCAGACAAAATTGTGAAATAATTCATCATCCTGGATATATGACAGTAATTTGTAGGCTTGATAAAAATACCAATGTTCCCAGTCTTCATTTAAGTTGGATCCCGAACAGTACATTATGTAAGCATCCTACAGCTTTGGAGAATATCATTTTAAGAAAAGATGTACCGGTGTCAGAAGGAACATCGTTAAATAAAATAAATGACGACGAGAGCTCAATTAATTCCGAAAAAATCGATGTTTGTTTGGAAGTTAAAGAACCCCTAGATTGTAAAGATTGTGAAAGAATATGTTCAGGTGGTTTATTCAATGAAGAATCATTGTCCGATACTGAACAATCATGTAAAAAAAATTTCAATAATCAAGAATTAAATAAGGTACAAAATAATGAAGAACCCAGTGAATCTACTATGGGAAAAAGAGTATTTTCTACAATAATAAAAGAAAAAATTGCCTCGTCTAATGATGAATTGCGAGGAATTAATTTAAATAATTTAAAGTCAAGATCACATGATCAAGGATCAATGGAGAGTCTTAATTATGGAATTGAGCCAAAGAGTATCAGTACTATTTCTTTAAATTCTTGCTGTAGTTTGTCTACTTCATTTGATCATGAGTTACCAAATTGGATGAGATCTCCAGAGTTATTAGCTCATCAGCATAATCTTACATTTCCTGAAAGTACAACAGCATCTCCTCTTGCCGTGAGAAGAGCACATCAATGTAGAAAATTTTGCGTCGATTTGGGACAAATGCGATCTCTTAGATTGTTTTTTGCTGATCCTGCTTGTACTAGTGGACAGCTTGTAGTAGCGAGTCGAGAAAGTCAATATAAAATACTTCATTTTCATCATGGGGGTTTGGATAGACTTGCAACTATTCTTCACCAATGGCATCATTTGGTTTATTCTAAACCAGATCAAACAGCCGACTGCGAAGGGTCTTTACCTTATCGGTAAGAGAAATCTTTTTTAACCGTCCTAAAAACATTCAAAATAATTATGCATGCATTAATTAATGAGATAATATATTTTTATTTTAGACATTTCATGGTATGTAGGCCGGAAATAGCCAGGGACGAGCTGCATCCTGAGGAAGGAAAAGTGCCCATGATAACCTCATTAGCATGGAAAGATTTGTTAAATGAAAGAGGACAAGTTGAAGATGACCTTACACTTCGTAAAGGAATATTTTTTGGTGGTCTAGAACCTGCTTTAAGAAAAATAGTATGGCCTTTTCTTCTTCACTGTTACTCTTATCAAACTACTTATGAAGATCGGGAACAAATTGATGCTATACGACGTCGAGAATATCAAGAAATAGAAAATCTTCGAAGTAATATGAGTCCAGAACAAGCTGAAAAATTTTGGAGAAACGTCGTTTGTATTGTGGAAAAAGATGTAGTTCGAACAGATCGTGCTAATCCATATTATGCTGGAGAAAATAACCCTAATATACAAGTAATGAAAAATATTTTACTCAATTACGCCGTCTACAATGCTCAACTTGGTTATACTCAGGGCATGTCAGATCTTCTTGCACCTCTGCTTGTTGAATTAAATTCAGAGATTGATGCTTTTTGGTGCTTTGCGGGTCTTATGCAACGATCTGTAGCTGTTTGTACACCAACGGATATGGATATGGATAAGAATTTATGTTATCTTAGAGAGTTAATCAGGATTATGGTACCTGACTTTTATGCACATCTGGAAAAATACACTGATGCGCTTGAGCTTCTTTTTTGCCATCGATGGATTCTATTGTAAGGTTTTAATAGATATTGAAGTAGTTAGTGAGTAAGATATAGTATACTAATCAAACATAATTGCACTATATCTTACAAATAGGTAACCTTCCATCATTTTAATCATGAATTATAAACTAGTAATTAAGGTTTGAATTTTTCAGGTGCCTCAAGAGAGAGTTTCCAACAGAAATGGCTCTAGTCATGTGGGAAGCGTGCTGGGTCAATTATCTAACGGACTATTTTCATTTATTTTTATGTCTTGCAATTATATGCATTTACGCGGACGATGTCATAGCTCAGGATTTACGAACGGATGAAATGCTGCTTCATTTTAGTTCTCTTGCCATGTATATGGATGGTAATGTAATCCTACGTAAAGCTCGTGGATTACTTCATCAGTTTCGACAACTGGATCGATTACCCTGTACTTTAGCTGGTCTTTGTCGTCAATGTGGTCCTGGAATGTGGGATAGCAGCCATGATCCTGTTATCGAATGCGTAGAACATGAAGATTCAGTGTGTCCTTATATAGAAAATTATCAAAATGTCAAATATTAAATTTTATGGAGTATATATGTTTTTCAAAAGTACAGTACCAACACATATCCGTATCGTTAACAGATGTCTATGGCACTAATTTAACACGCACTACATGAAAATTAGTATCAAATGAGATTAGATATGAAACAAAGATAAAGAGAAAATTGTATAAAAAGAGATTTATTTATTAAATCGATCAAAAAATTTATAAAACGTCAAATCAAATTTTCACATTATTCACAAAAATATTCACTCAACAAGTATAGTTATCAAAAATTATTCCTAATAATTCGTAAGTCATTGTTTAAGTAAATTTTTCAATTATTCTATCATTAAAATGCATCACTTAATAATTAATTTGGTTAAATCAACTCATTTTTATAAAATAACTTTGGTAAAAACTAGACCTTTTTTTCAACAAAGTTAATTGTCACTAAAATCATACACGCAACCGCCCATACTATAACAAAAATAGGCCAATATTTTCCTGCGAATGGACTGGCAAATCTATTTTTTACACTAGATTTAAAAGTAACCATTACTTTTTTTCGCGAATCTAAAACAAGAAATGTCGGAATCAAATACTGAATGCCAGCTCCAGCATATGAACCCGTTATACTAACAAGAAATGACAAATTTTCAGTTGACATAGCAATTACATAAGGTGGAATTATTGCCAAAAATGGAAAGACTAATTTTCGAAGACAAAAATTGTAAGCAGTCTGATTGTTAAGAAACAATGATGATAAATTGTTTCTCAATGTTATTGCAATTATAGGGAAACTCGTTGATAATGTGAACACAGGAAATAAAGCAAGAAAATATTCAATAATTAATAACAATGTGTTTGTGTTCTCTGAACATCCTCCACTACCTCTTGGACCAAAATCTAACGTATATAAATCATCAAGATGTGCGAATGCAAATGTTCCCGTTAAAGCTAATAATAGATAAAACCCTGCTATCAACACATAATCTAATATAAGAGCACGATTTAGAGTTGATTTGTTAGTAATTGGTACAACTAATGCTGGGAGAGAATGATGACACATAAATGAATATATACACGCTCCAAAAAGTCCAGGGATACCTAAAATTAATAAATTGATTAATTTTTCGTTACTTTGCAGGCATATATAACTTTGATAAATTATTCACCGTATACGTTCATAGCTGGAGGTGATCCTTGAGGACCATTGACTATTAGGATTCGTAGTGCGTATATTATCATGATTGAAAATGCAAGCCAACGCATAGTAGACGTCAATATTTGAAGATACTTTGTTTTTTGGACGTTAAAAAATACAAATGGACCTGATATTAAAACGAACGTTGTCTGAAAAATATTAAAAAGTTTGAAAAATACTTGAAAACTAATATTGAAATTGAATTAATTTTGTTTGTAATTTTTTTGATAAAATTAATTTATCTTTGAATAATTTATTTACAAAGTATTTTTTTAAATGCTGAAAATATCTAAGTCATGAGTCATACTGTCTATTATCTTACCAAAAATATTTGATAAGCATCAAATCGTGTGACATATGAACCTTCCCAGCAGGCTTCAGTGTCAGGTATTGTCTCATTACAAGTAAAATTTGCTGGTTGATAATTACAAGCTACATCTGCCAAAGTTCTACCAATAGCTGCAGCATAGATACTTAAGTCGCCATATAAATAGACAGCTAAACAAATATAAAATAATGTAATGCTTGTTTTACTGAAAAATAGGGATGCCATTTCTCCTATCTCTACTTTGTCGTTCAATGTAAAGAATTTGGATGAATCATCTGTATTGTCAGAGCTTCCAGATGGTTCAACAAGAGGAGTCTCCTCTGAGTCAGAGTTTGGTGGCTCAGCTTCACAAAATGTACGCAGAGCCTTTGAATTATCAATTTCCGTTATTAGTTTTGTTACTCATCATCGATAGATATTATTCACTTACTTTTTTCCTACTTTGAACCTTTTCCCAGGCGATAATCGCACTTGCTGATGCCATAGACTCTATGACGAATGTTACAGTGATAAAACTGAAAATAAATAAAAATAAAATTAATAAAATACTTATCAACTTTTATTATTTATATATATTTCATTTACCTTATGAATCCTAAGATTATAATAACTGTAGTTCCAAAAAGCCATCCTGCTCTACTAAAAACAGCTGGTAGAGTCAATGCTCCAGTTCCAACAATTAAATTGAAAATGTAGATCAGACCAACCTGTGATTAGTATTTTATTCAATAAAGATAAGCTTATTTAGTATTGATATTATTTAAAAATATTAAGTTAAATGGAACAAAAAAAATGAATTGTAATGTTTCCAACTGTATCAAACGATATAGACATTTCTTTGTTGTGATTTCATTGTTGCATAGGTTAGTTTTCTCTAGTAGTTTTCAACTGATACAAATTTTTTTGAACTTACTTTTGTAGAATATTGATCAGTATTTATTTGTGGCATAATTTATGCCCAAGTGCCAACACACAAATATAAATTAACATCAAAGCATGATGTATTTAAATACACAAGTTATGGTTGTGTATAATAATATGACGTTGACGTTTGATTGTTTGATATCTGTCTCTGTCACAATGTAGCTTTGTTGAACACACTCATTGTAGAATGGAGGTTGTCAATGAAGATTGATACATATATATATATAGCTTGTATATTTGTAACAATTTAGTTGGATATTTATATAAAAAGGTGGCGCTGATGAAATAAAAAGACTCCAAATTGCTACAGAAGATCGTTTATTGTAGACATTTTATTATAAAAAAAATTGTGAATGGAATAAATAGACAATTGCAATCACATCGATGACAATTCGTTGAAAATAATTTTATTGAATTGAAAATATAAACCTAATCCTTATAATAATTATTATAGGTTCACGAGACAACTCTTAGGATACGATATTCATTGACATTGAACGGTAAAAAATCTACATTGTAACTCCGGAAAAATGCGAAAAGTTGTATTACATTTTTAATTAATGACTATATCAATGGTTTATGTTCAGTACAATTTTTGTTTTCGAGGGGGAGGTGGGGAGAACAATTTTTCATTAGCATAATGAAAAACTTTCCATTAGCAAAATGAAAAATTTAACGAGAGGATCAAATGCTAGAGAAATGGCTAAAATGTCAAAAAATTTTTATCAATCACGACAAAACATTCGAGTCGATTATTGTTTACTTATTTATCCGAAGAGCTTTTATTTTACCATCTTCAAATTACTTCCTCTTTCACCTCAATTTATTATTAATTTGAGCGACTAAATAAGATTTTTTTTGGAATGTTTGCACTGGATAAAAAATCTACTTGTTGGTATTTTTTTTTTGTATCAGTGCTTTAATTATTTAATAATACTAATTTATATTAATTACACGCATTATTAAAAAGGGATTAACAATAATTAGAATATCGTAACTTCAGGCCCTGTGATCGCTAGGAATGAAGTACTCTCGAATCCGAGGTAAGTCTTATGGAATGAAATACAATGTTTTATAAAAGTCAAGGATCTTCACCTCATATTCAAACTCGACAGCACTAAAAAAAAATTGCGTAGTCAAGGGCAGGAGGTAGTAGGAATAGATGAAAGCTTTACATAAATAAATCTTAAGAAAAATAATAAAAATAATGCAACGAGGTGATAAAGAGGAAAATAATAAAAAAGAGAATAAATGAAAACTCTTTCTCTCGCTTTCTCACTCTCTCTCTCCTCCGGAACTTGACCAACAATGTTGATCAGGGAATCAAAAAAATGATAACTGATGACAATATGTAATAAGTTGATGTTAAAAGGAAATGCAAAAGTGCATTGCAAATTAATACGCTTAGAAGCACTTCCTGTGGACAATTGATGGACCTGATTCGTCGTATTCTTGTTTGGAGATCCACATCTGTTGGAAGGTAGACAATGAAGCAAGAATAGAACCTCCAATCCATACGGAGTATTTTCTCTCAGGTGGAGCAATGATCTTAATTTTCATGGTTGATGGAGCAAGAGCAGTAATTTCCTTTTGCATTCTGTCAGCAATACCAGGATACATGGTGGTACCTCCAGAAAGAACGGTGTTGGCGTAGAGATCTTTACGAATATCGACGTCACACTTCATGATTGAGTTGTATGTAGTCTCATGGATACCACAGGCTTCCATACCCAAGAAGCTTGGTTGGAAGAGAGCCTCAGGGCAACGGAATCGTTCATTACCAATGGTGATTACCTGAAATAATCATTCATTATTATTATTAAATTTTAAACATACTGATTAAATGAATTTAGAGCAAAAGAAAATTTCTAAGTACTCAATTAATAGTCTAGAATTAATTTTACCTGTCCATCAGGAAGTTCGTAGCTCTTTTCCAAGCTAGATGAAGAAGCTGCTGTAGCCATTTCCTGTTCAAAGTCAAGAGCAACATAGCAAAGTTTTTCCTTAATATCACGAACGATTTCACGCTCAGCAGTGGTGGTGAATGAGTATCCTCTTTCAGTAAGGATTTTCATAAGATAATCTGTGAGATCACGACCAGCCAAGTCAAGACGAAGAATAGCATGAGGCAAAGCATATCCTTCGTAGATTGGAACAGTGTGAGAAACACCATCTCCGGAATCGAGCACGATACCGGTAGTACGACCAGAAGCGTACAGAGAAAGCACGGCTTGGATGGCTACGTACATGGCAGGCGTGTTGAAAGTCTCGAACATTATCTGCGTCATCTTCTCACGGTTAGCCTTGGGATTGAGGGGAGCCTCAGTAAGTAGCACAGGATGTTCTTCGGGTGCAACTCGAAGTTCATTGTAGAAAGTGTGATGCCAAATCTTTTCCATATCATCCCAGTTGGTGACGATTCCGTGCTCAATGGGGTATTTGAGAGTAAGAATACCTCTCTTTGATTGTGCTTCATCCCCAACGTATGAGTCTTTCTGTCCCATACCAACCATCACACCCTGATGTCGGGGTCTTCCCACAATTGAGGGGAATACAGCACGCGGTGCGTCATCACCGGCGAATCCGGCTTTGCACATACCAGATCCATTGTCAACAACCAATGCAGCAACTTCTTCGTCACACATTTTCGTTTATTATTATTTTATCTGAAAATTAAAAATGAACAAAATGTTAACTCGACTATTTCAAACTCTACATGACATTTTAATGAATTAAAATAATGATGATGAGTTCAACGATCTCTTAAAAGTTTTAGTATTATGAAGTTACTTAGTGATGATTCATTATTCAATTTTTTTTTTTTACATATTTTTGTCGTTAAATTTTCGAATATTTATCAAGAAAATGAAATGCCACGTCAGATCGACCGGAGTCGTTGTCGCGATACAAACCCTACCTTACCACTCAGAAAACCGCACCCAGCCCCACCCAACCCCGAGTTATCTACTCTTTGTGAAAAGGAAAAATTTTAACCACAACCTAAACCACTGGAATACTAAACATGAAATAACTACATCAAGAAACAAATCGATTTAACTATTTAGCGACTTTTTTTATGTAAAACCTTTTACACTGAGTGCTATTAACCGACTTCCGTGGATAATGTAACCGGCATACCGGCGTAACCTGCCCACTTTGCGTTTTCAATCATACCCACGGCAAATTAAAATGTTTCAACACAAATAATAAAGCATAAATTAAATCCAACACGTTCATAAATCATTTTAGGTCACACTATTATAAAAATTTCAGGCACATTTTATGGAATTGAAGCACTAAAATAATTTAAATATTTTAAAACATTAATCAATTGATTAATAAAGTAGTAAAAACTTACATTAGTATTGAATAAAAAATATATATACACTTTAATAGTGAGTAAGTAAATTACACTTTGGACTGGGTATCACAAAGTTTCGAAGGTATCAACCAGCGAACACAGAATGTAGCTGCAATGACCGGTGAACTGTTTTATATAAACGAGATAGCACAGACTCCCACCATAAGCGTTTCCGCCAAGAAGGGCAGGACACCCTCAACCAATCCTGGCTCTCTTTACCATATATGGCAACTGACTATCACGAAGGGATTGCCCCCACCTAACCCCACCTCGTCGCGACGCTGATGCATCTCTATCGTAATGATATTGCTACCGCAACGCTTCCCCCCAATACATTTACTATACATCGATTCTTTCGACAATTAACTTGACCCATCGGCAATCATTAAAATAATTTTAAATAAGTGTTTAAAATGATATTAAAATAATGATTTCTTAAAAGTTTTTCATAATTACTATGTTAATTGCAATATCTGTTTTTGGGTTAATTTCAAATAAAATTAAGACATCGAGATAAGAATTATTGATATTTTTTAGGTTTCTCTTTCATCGATAAGCTCAACTCAAGAACAAACTGGTTGAAGGGTACTAAAATTAGTCGAAATACGGAACTATAGACCCAAGCCAAGTTTAATTATAGATCCTGTTAACGTCAGAACCACTTTTAAGCAGAATCACCACTTGTCGTACAGCAACCTGTCACGACTCTACAAAAAAATATGAAAATCAATAATTTGCATGCCTCATTCATCATGCTAGAAAAAAATAATTCCTCGAGATTAAGTAAAATAAAATAAGCACATGGGTAGCAACGCCCTGGTATGATGGCGGCGGTTAGAGGGCTGCCGGCTTCGTCAGTTTGGTTAGAATTGAATTATTAGGCAATATTAGTAGACACATGGCTTAAATAAAAGTATATCACGGTCAACAAATGTTTGTATTACTCACCTTAATGTAGTTGAAAAAGAAGAGATTATTATCTCCAAGAATTTCAGTGATTAGAGTTGATGTAAGCCTGAAAGAACTACACTTGTGACAGGACGAAGCGAGAGTCGTGACTGGAGCGACAACGCCAATAGAGTAGTGAGTAACATGAATTAAATCGCAGACCGGGCTCCTTATGGACTTGTCCTGAAAGGGTATGGTCGGCAATTGAATGCCGGCATTCCAGGATTTAAAAAAACATTTAAAATGCCCTAAAATTAACAAAAAACATTACGAAATATGTTGACATCATCTTTTAATGTGAAAAACAATTAATTTTGATAGCCTTCGATGACTCATTTAGCTTAATTATCAATAAGTATGGCATCAATAATCTTCCTATCTCCCCTCGTTTGTGAAGTAGACTCGTCCAAGCTTCCTTATCCCCACCAACAACATTTTCACCGGCTCTTGCCATATATGGGCATAAAACGTGAGCCGCGCTGTGATTGGCTGATTCCTCAGCAACCGACTAGTTCCCCAAATACCGCTTCGAACTGTACGATATGGCTGAAGAGAGAAGGATAAGCTGTTGGAAAAGTATGCAAAAGAAGAAAAGACAAAGACATAAAACCCAGGCAATGACTCCTAGAAATATACTACGCGTTGATTATAACTATAGCATTTCCAGACTGACTCACCGTCAGACGTTGAGAAAAAATAGTCAGTTATACTGCTTCGAAATTATCTGATGATAATGAATACACATGAATTTTTGCTTCCCCTCTTTTGTGAAACTACTGACTCACTGGGGTTTCGCTGTAATAAGTCATTTTTACTTACTTTGAGTTTATTAAATCACATTCCAAGTCTCTTTAAAAATGCTCACAATTGCAAGAAAAGTATACAAATTGCTAAATGTTTGTAATTTCATTCCAGTAAAGTATTTGAAGAGACTAGCCGAGAATGAGAGAATAATAAGCTTGTTAATTAATCAATTATTATGCCAATGACACAACCAAACTTGCAAGTAAAATTTGCAATGTTTAGTTGACTTGTCAAGGTCGAGGCTTGCAAGTATCACTATCTCGAGGACAATACAAGGTTTGTCATGTTAACGTAGCATTATACTGAGAAACCTTTGGCTATTCTTATACCTGACATCTTCGATGTATGGTTTAATTGTACCAATTCGTGACATTATTTTTACATTAAATGCATTCCAATGCATCTTATAAGATTATTAAGGTAAAACAAATGAAGAAATATTAAGTAATAGATTAAAGTCTTATATTTAAATTCAAGAATGTGACCTTGTAGCTTACGCTTTTCTTCGAATCGATTGGCCAAGTTCAATGTCGTGTAGGTCGAAAGTTGAACGACCTAACTTAAGCGCAGACGACGCCAAAGAGTTGCAGCTATGTATTGGCTACGCCCAAAAAATACAAAATCTTTATTGACGTATCTATTAATAATGAAGTACGTCTTGGATGCTTACCAATCCTGCGTGTATCACTAATGGAATGCTTTTCGAATGCATTAGCTTCGTATTGAAAAAGATTCTAAAGGTGGTCAGTTCCAATTATCTCATCAAAGAGCTAAATTTGGGATAGATTACGCATTTAACTGCACCGTAGATGGATCGTAAAAGATGAGGAGTGTCAAGGTTGGTGTCGAGGTAACAAAAAAGCAGAACAGATGTGCCATGGTCATTTTAGCATTATGTACTCCAATTTGGCCTTGTTTATGTAAGTAATGTATACATGTTTTTAATGTTATTAAAAATACTTGAATGTACTGAATTCCATTGCATTTTTTTTCTTAATCAACAGATAAAAGCAGCTAATCAACAACTCTGTAAGTATTCTAAGCGATAAGGAGGAGAAAGCAAACATGAAGCATGAAAGTTTTTTTTTAAAATACATGGAAAATTAGATTTCGAAAGGCTCAAAAATAAAATAGAGCTAGTTTGCCATTTATCATGATCCCCGTTATGTTTTGATACACAGTAATCCCCTGGTTAACTGACCGACTATTTCTTGTCGACTTGTCCTCACCATATTCGAACGAAATAAAATTAACAAGGTACGTATACATAGCCATTCTTCCAATAGGAACAGTTCAATATAACCCGTTATGTTACACAACATTAATACGATAATTATTCCTCCAAAAAATGTACGTTTATTTCTGGGTCACTATGGAATTTAGTATATTTTGATTCAAATGATAGCACATTTATGTATAGGAGAGAAAATCATGCTCATTAACATTGTGACTTGGTTTCACACGAGTCAGTAAGTAAAATTGTGGACTCAAAAGACGGAATATTTTCACAGCAATGTAAATCAAGGTCATACGTTAACAAACTCGATATTTCCATACCGGTAAAAAATAATATTCATTAATTTCACATAAATATAATTTATCATTCGTTCATATAAATATCATTTAATGGTATTCTTGACAGTAAATGAAAGATAAGCGTTACTGGATTATCAATTCGGGTTTTTTGAAGTTTGAATAAAATTATTTTTCATTTATCATACGCTTTGACCTTTTTGACATGATTATTGAGGACGAGAATTTATTCCTTAGAAAAACAACATTGAATTTTGGAAAGAGATAATAATCTTACATTTTCTCAGTTTATATATTTGTTTTAAATGATAATGTTTTTTCTTGTTTTAGTAAAACTTAATGAATAAAATATTTTGACTCTACTCTTACAATCATTGAAGAGTTTAGACTGTACTAGGTGTTCCATTGATGGGTTTTTTAAATGTAGATAAAAAGTTCCAAAAAGTATTACTTAAATGAGATTATTTATCATATATTTTATTTATCTAAACTCATTTTAATTATCAAAGTAAAACAGTCGTTGCGACAGGCATAGTTTTATGTTTTCTAGGAAAGGCAGTCATCAAGAGTTATGGTATTTGGGTCTGTTAATGAAGTGACTTAAATTATGTATTTGTATTTAAAATAAACTCTCAACAATTGAATTAGAAATTGGCATTAATGAAACTTGACGAGTTTTACATCATTTTCAAGATTTCATGGATTTATGTAGAGATTCTTATTACATGCTATCATGCTTTTCGAACTTCAACTTGCTGACTCCAAAAAAGCTAGATAAGCTATAGAATGTTTAATGTTCCAACCACTTTAAATTTCTGCTAGTAGCCTACAATGGGTGATTTAAACTCCAAAAATTTTTTAGGTAATTAGTGCAAGAAGAATCAGCACGCTTGAATATTAATTTCGCTCAAAAAAATGGATTTCTTTAAAAACATAAAGTGTCATCTGATTTTAAAAATAATAATGAAGGACATTTTCATTAGAAACAACTGATCATAGTAATAATGTAAATTACAAGAGCTATTTTGTAAAGTTATGAAAAATTAATTAGTAATATTAAAATAGTAAAATATTGAAAGATTCTAGGCAGCTGCGTTGCTAATTGTGCTATCCTTACATTTTACGATTAAACAGAATTTAATCAGACTCTCGAAAACTTTTACCATTATCTCAATTAGTCTCATTACTCTTTTAAGTGTTTAGTGATATTTCTTTAATTAGTATTTAAGTTCTTCTATTGAATGCTTATGAATCTTTTCTAATTTATAGAAAGTCATTTCATTTGGATGGATGAATAAGGCCTTCTCCAATGTAAAATACATCTGAATCACTGACGTATGATCATTTCTGACGCATCTATGAATTCATTGCCTTCAAGTATGTAATTGAAATAAAATATGTCTGGTCAATAGCTACACGCCATCAAATTCTTGGAAATTCAAGCCAAGGATAACAACTGACGTTTATGCATTCTTCTCATGCGGATGCTGTTTTCATAAGTACATCTTTTTTACAGACTTTGAATAACAGCGAAATCTTCTACGTGAGTTACACATGTAGAGAAGTAGGTAAATGCTGAAAAATTACACCAGCTGATGGTAATGAGTTATATTACGACTTTGAACGGATTTTTTTTATTTTATCGAACAATGAATGAACAATTTCAAGACCAGTAATGCTATCTGGTGGAATCTAAGATAGTTCGTTCTTTACGTCACAAAGTAAACGTACAGCAAAATTTACACCTTGACAGACAAGTTTTATATTAAATTCTAGTAAAATCATGATCACAACACATATGAACACATATTTTGTTAATAATTTGATATCTTCCTTGAGATGAGTTTAGTAATATATTGGATAATTTAATTAAATCAAGTAAGAAAAGTTTCAACATTAATATGAACAAAGCGTCGTATCTTCTTCATTGGTAATCTACTATTGTAACAACAACAAAATAAATAAAGCTAGTCATTCGTTGTCTCACAAAACAAATTTTATAATAAAATGACATTAAAGAAGGAATAATAGTTAATCTGTCGAGAGAGTTTGCTAAAAAAATTATTCTTAAAATGACTCAATCAAGCAGGTTAGTTTCTTCATATTTTCATCAATAGAGCTTATTCATGTAAATATATAACCTTCGAAAATAGAAATAGTGGAATATATTAATAACAACGATTTTATTTTTTATTTCATAGGAAAAGATTAAGGAGCATGGAAGAAGAAAGCAGTGAATTTACTCCTCTAAGTAAAAGGATAAATAATCTACATCTAAATGGCTGGTCCGGATTACGAGATTCCACAAATAATTCAGTAGAATTTGAATGGAATGATAAAAATTGTCCATCTTCCAATAATTCTGAACCATCACCTGGCTCATCATCGTCTGAAGGATATAATCACAGTCAAAAGGATTTTGTACATGAATATAGGCCTGAGTTAGGCATTAATGACAACCCTTACTATTATGAAAATAACAAATTATTATACACTCTTTATATGGAAAGAATGCAAAGACGAACTACTTTCAATCATCTTTGATATATTTAGATAAAATATTCATTTCCATTTTTTTTCAATTTTAATCATATTTTGTAACAAATAAATTTTGGTGAATATTAAGACTTTAAAATTACTTTAAGGCTTACGATTTGATCATGCATAGTTTGTAATAAATCTACCTTTTAATTAATAAAATAATTTGTAAATCAATGAATAATATCATTGTTGTTATATCGTTATTGTTTAATTTATTATTTATTTTTAGCTTAATTATAATAGGTGAAAGTTATTTTAGGTACAGATAGATTGAATCCATCCCAAGTATAAATTCTAGAATGTAATCATCAGTCATATTTTTTAAATTTCGCGCTTTTAAGTATGATACAAGTAGCACTACTAGTGGGGATTTTTCGTACTTTACAGCTATTTATGATTGGTTGTTATGAAAACAGGTACACAATGATACAGCCACGTAAACGCGACAAGACGCACACTACATGCACACATCATAAACAGTGTACAGTTAGTGATGATGGTCTTAATTAATTTACAGCGTTTTTGGAGTAATTTTCCGTAAAATTCCATAAAAATAAGGAAGAATACAAATATGTTAATGCGTAAGAGGTTATGAAAGGAGGTATATAGTTTGTTATAAGTATAGTATCGTTCAAGGAGTAAACGAAACAAACAAGCGTCGGCAGTGAGTGTTGTGGTCGGTAATTCTGTGCTCATAGAAATGAGAAAGTCGGCTTGAAGTGAATCGAGAGCACGAATGCCAGAGCGTCGACGTTCGAGGCAGTGCCAGGTTGTAAAGCAGCAACACTTGGGAAGTAACCGAATAACGGCAACGGTAAACTGTTTTGAGTGAGCGGTTTGGTTCATTCGTTTTCTCAGGTGTGCCAGTTGTCGTGCGTTTATTCTAGTTAGATCAAGCAGACAATCAAGTCGTCGTTTTCATAATCCACATCAGCTGTCTGTAAAGTGAATATAAAGATATAAAACGTCAAGGAGTTGGCGTTTTATTCTACAAGTAAGTGTAAGGTTTATATCTTTTTATGCTATCGCTGCTTTCTCTCGAAACTTGTCCGACGTAAATTGATAGCCACAAGTGTTACCGGAAATAAGTACGTTTCGATGGTGTATTCGTGCATGCACAAAGTTCGCCCGCGTTACGTCGAACCGCGAAACAGTGGCCACCGAGCACTCACCCCAAGACACTAAAATCGTCGCGGGAACCTCGTCGTGACTCTACGGTCTGGCTTGAGCCTTTGGTGGGGTGGTTGGAGGTGCGGACAGTGGTTGAGAGGCTGGTGGGGTTGGAAATTGCGTGGTGGTGGATGCCCACCGTGGAGGTCCCGGAGGCCCCTCCGTAACATCTCTCGCTCCACTCTGTTTTCTTCCCACCTTGTGTTGCTTTTGATGCCTCTGCACATCTCCTCCTTTGCCACTTCTAGGTGGGGGTGTAAACAAATGCTTCACTGCTTGCGAATGCAATCAGCCGATTCATTAAAAGATCTTTCATTCTTATCTATTTTTTCACCACAAGTTGCGCCAGACTTTCTACAACTTCATCCCTTTCACGCTCACTGACTCGGGCATTCACATGACTTGACTAATGCATCGCTACATAAATTATTCATCAATGATTCAGAGTTCAGAAAGTAGGTATGTATCTATTACCCTTACTTGTACTTTAAACTTGGTACAAGAACATTCAATATCTTTGCTGGATATAATTTCTCCAGACACTCGATCTTTCTCAAAATGGCGGCTTTGCTGACGTGTAAATGTTCATGTAACAAGACCTCAATTGGAGCCAACGCCCGTTTGTCTTCTATGCAAATTATGCTATTTTAATCTCCTATATAAAAGCTATCATAATGGGTTAATACATATTAAACTATTCTAACTGCAAACAGGTAAACAACAAATAGTAGACTATATTCATTATTTGAAGATATTTTTTTTTATTTAAAGTAAATATTAGTCTTGCATTGTACTGCGCAGTTGTTCCGCTCCGTTCGTTATTACGTCACGGCGTGACTATAGTCACTTGCAGTAGATTTCTGGTCAACGTCTACGTGAAACGTCGTTGATCGTAAAAGGTAAAGAAGTGAAAATCGTGAAAAATCAATTAATAGATGTAATAGTCTGATGGCATGTCGAGTATTTCGTCAAGGTAGATCTCGTTAAAGTCTCAGTTTTAGTAGACAATAACGTCTACTATTGTCAAGTGTAGTTAAACTATTGTACAACGCGTTATAATTGTGAATTTTCTCGTCTGTGACGTTTATCTCGTTATTAGTGAACCTCAGCACGATGCAACGAGCGTGCGGCCACAGTTGACTCCCACAGATGTACTTTGGCAACCTCGAGGACTCAACTCCAAGGGCGTGCGAGTGAATTTACACTAGGTTACTACTGTTCTTGGCTTCGGACATTTCTCCCTCTCCCTTCTCATTCTCGGTATCGCATGGGAGTAGTATCCCTTCTTTCTTGGCATGCCCCTACCCGTAGTTCCGCCACCACTTTAACTCTACACCCTTCCTTCCTTCCTTCCGTCCTCTTTTTTATTCTTCAAAGCAAATTATTAAGTATAATGATCACTAATTGCACATCACATGTAACGACAAATCAAGTAACACTGCGTTAATCGAACATAACCCAGTACTCTTGAGCAACTAGGTGGTAACCAGAGCTTCATCAATGGAGAACTCTCAAGTTGGCGATAAGCAACCTTGATTCCCACCTAAAGACCCTCACGTCTCCCACACTTCTTGCGATTAAATGCTCCCACCCTATCTCTCATCCACGTGTTAGTATCATTGCGACTTCTACCCCCTACCCCCTGTCAAAGGCCAATGTTGGCCTCTGATGGAGTGGGGTTGATGTTCTGTTTCTTTCTCTCTCTCTCTCTCTCTCTATTATATCTCGATCCTAAATTACTTTGCCGAATACTCTCCCTGCCCTCAACTCCTGTCCGTCGAGGGGGAAACGGCGACAGTGTTGGCGGGGGAGTACAAGAATAAGAGGAGGAGGATGACAGAGGACGGAGGGGGGTTGCGTTTGCGACTACCCTACTGAGCCCCTTCCAATGTAATGATACAGAGAGATGGAAAATAAATAAAAACATATGCATGTTGGGGGGGAACGATACTCAAGATAAAGTTTGTCAACTTTTTCAATGCCAAAATTCCTTATGGAACATTTAATAAAGATCATCAATTCTTCTTTACAGATAGCTTACTAAGGAAACCAGGATGAATTTTACACCCTTTCCGGGTTTCACCACTGGTTCCTTGCCAACTGGAACAGTTCATCAATTTGCTACCAAGTTTGCACAAAACTTGACCACAGGCGGTCAAGTGGTTGGTGTTCTATCAGGAGGTGAAGGTGGAGTTCACTACTTAAGGCCAGTTGATCCCAATGGATTTGCAGTAGCAACGGCTCAAGGGAGCAATAACCAACATCAACAAATTATCACGCTACCCATTACAGTACCTGGTAAAGATGGTACTCAACAGCAGCAGACCGTCCAAATTCAAGTGGTTAATCCAAGTGTTTCTCAAAGTGGTAATAGCGCAGATCAACCCAAGTACCATATAGCACCAATATCATTTGGACAATTATCTCAAGGTGCTGCAACAGTGTTAACTGTTGCTTACAGTCAACAAGGAGCTGATGGGGTGCAGATTCAAGTTCAACCACAGAATACTGTGGCTACTACACAAACGTAAGTATTGATAAGTTTTAGTAAATTAATAGATAGTAATGAAGAGAAAGAGAGAAAAAAAAAATGATTTTTCAATAGGTCGGATCAAACAACACAAAGTACATCAACTGTGGTAACAAGTACAGCACAGCAAACAATCCAGCAAACTGTACAACTTCCTGGAGCGCCCGAGGGACTTACAGTTGTCGCTCAGATTCCACAAGATTTGATACTTCGAGAGGCTGTTGAAGATTCTAAAGAGGACATTAAAGAAGGAACAACACCAGTTGCATTAATTAAACGTGGAACTGCCAAAGGAGGATCAGTCAATCCACTTCATGAAGAACTTGTTACATCTATGCCTGCAGGATGGCAAAGTGTTGTACCTCCAGGATCTACAGTAGTAGATTATCTTTCTAAAATGCCGCCACTTAGCTTACATCATTTCCTGAGGTTTTCTGCAGAAACAATAAAACGTGAATCAACTATCGAGTCTAGTCCTCTGGGTTCTGATGGGATGGATGCATCTGGTAGTACACCCCAGGGAGAACAAGCTGTACAAATCACAGTAGCTGGAGGTGAGACAGAAATTATTCCGGATGTTAATGAGGAGCAGGAGCCTGGTACAAAACCTAAAAGAAAGAAGAAGTACAAGAAAAAGCCACCAAAGCCCAAGAAGCCAAAGCCAGGTCAAGTTAGCATTGTCACTGCATTAGATGGTACAACATTATTCTGTTGTCCTCAATGTAACATGGCGTATCCTGAAAAAGAACTTCTTGAGCAACATTTAATTGGTCATAAAATTGAAAGAAGATTTATTTGTGACATTTGTGGTGCTGGTTTAAAGAGAAAAGAACATCTTGAGCGTCATAAACTTGGACATAACCCGGATCGACCATATATTTGCTCCGTTTGTATGAAAGGATTCAAACGAAAAGAGCATTTAAATCTTCATTTTGTAATACATTCTGGCCAAAAAACGGAAGTGTGTAGTGAATGTGGAAAAGCCTTTTACCGCAAAGATCACTTGCGAAAGCATGCAAGATCACATTTAGCAAAACGAGCGAAAGAAGATCCATTAAGTAATGTTGATAATACTCAAAATCAACAAAACAATGATCAACAACAATCACAGACAAATCAACAAGGTGATATACAGCAACAAGATGCTGTACCTGAACTTCAACAAATACAAATACAAGTGGGTAACATTGGGCAAGGTTCTCAAGCACAAATCCACCAGATTGCAGTCACTGAACAATCTACTGTAGTTTTACCAACTGCTGCCGAGACTGGTGCAATGGCAATATTACATCATCAACAGCAACAACAACAACAGCAGCAGCAGCAACAACAACAGCAACAGCAACAACATTAGCAGCAATTGACCGTCCAGAGCGATACTGGACGGTTTTTTCGATATAATCGCGAAAAGGCTAAAGGACGAGCCGCGTAGAGAATTGATTATTTATCACCTGTTCGGGATGATTGAAACGAGATCATGTTTTACGATTTAATAATTCACGTAAAAAATAACTAATCTTCGGTATTCTTCTTACATCGTAAAGTTTATATAGATTAATATTAATAATTATAATTATAATATAATAATAACAACTAAAGAAAACAATATGAAAAATGGGTACGAAAAAAAAATACAAAAATATTAAATGGCTGTTGAATTAAAATGCGATAAGAAGCGTTTCCGCTAGGTGCTCTCAGACACGCAGTTCAACGATTGATAAAGTGTGTTTTCAGCACGAAAATATGTATTTTCGTACATGCGTACGCGTTATAGTGTGCGTAATTTGATCTGACGACTCCACTTTCGCCGGCGTCACATTGTACACCTCTTATTGACTCACCATCTTTTTGACGTGGTCTGACGCCAAACAGTATCATATCTTGCACGTGATTAATGAAATACGTAAAAAATATTCTTTTTTCAACATAAATAATATACTGTACATAGATGATTAAAAAAAATAATAATATCATGCATATTGAATTCCTCGTTAAATGAGGTAATGAAAGGATTTTTTTGATAACTTTACAGATCTGTGACTGAACATTTATTTTTGAATGGAAAGGAAGAAAATTTTAGTTTGATATTTAAACAAAAAGACATTGATCCTTTTTCCATTATTCGATTAAATGTAATCATATAAATTATATTATTAAAAAAAATGTTATTTATGATGTTGTATGGTAATATTCTTCCAGTGGCTTTTTATTTTTAATAAAAAGTCATGTATTATTAATTAATTAATGAATTAATTCATTTTATTAAAAATTAGTTACTAATAATTTAATAAAAATAAAGATAAACTACAAGCATAATCATTAGATTCATGGGGCAATTTATAATAATTTCTATTCAAGTAATAATTATAACTTAATGCATTTGTTATATACGTTAGGCTTCTTTTAATCTTTTTTCTATTAGTTCAGTGTTACTGATTATATTGCTGACATGAATTTTAATGTAAAATAATAAAATATTGGTCCATAGAATAAACATCATTTAAATGAAAAAAAAGATATCAAATAAAACAATTGCAATTATTGTAATTATAATAAACAATTGTAATCATAATTGTGGTAGTAATAATAATTAATATTAATAATGATTATAACAATGATGATAATAATAACAATAATTATATATAAAAAAATATTAATACTAGCCATATTCATAAAATGAATCAAATCGGGTGGCGGAAGTGAGAGATTGTCTTGAAATTACGAAATAACGTTAAAAAATATATTATTAAAAATAAACTTTATATAAACGGCTAGAATTTACACTTAGAATTTATCAAAGAGAGCGAATTTTGTTTATATATCCTTAATTGAGATTGACATCTTTTTATTTCTTACAAAAATTACAGTAATGGCAGTGGGTATAGTTGTATAGGAAAACCAGAAAAAAATTACAAAAAACTATAAAAATAAACAAAAAAATATGATACAAATAGTTATTTTACTATAATTATTAATATTATATGAATATTATTATAGTAGATCTTATAATTTGTTTGTAAGTCATTTTCATTGTTACTTACATAAATATTGGAAATTATTAAATAAACAAAAAATTTAATATAAAAATGATTGAATATAAGCATATATTTGTGTAATAAATAGACATTAATAATGCATAAAACAATGTAATATAATTAAGATATAATATGTTGATGAGAAAAGTGTAAAAAGGGATGAAAATACAGGTGGAATATTATAAAAATGGTAAAGCAATAAAAATAAGTAGGTGTTAAGTATGTGGGACATTTAAAACGTAAAGGAACCGAAGGAGAAAACTCGCGATTTCGAGTTATAATATAGGCGGGTTGGCTTCCCTCCCCCTGGGTGAATGCATAGCGGGCCGAACGAAGAGATTCGGGTATTTTCGCCGTTCGCACATCGTCGATAGGGGAGCGACATGGGTAAACGCGGACTGTGGGACGGCGGGAACTGGAAATAGGAATGATGAGGAGGGTAGGGCGGCGATGCTCGCGGGGGCCGCAGAGTGCCAGAGAAAAAATAGTTAAGAGGCTGGCGCAGTAGAGGGCGGACAGTGGGGTGGGGACTCAAGAGACAGGTGTCAACGGTCACGGAGGTCGTTATTTTACTCTTTTTTTTTATATAAATATCGTACTATTTTTTAAATTTAAACACGCCGGTGAAATCAGATACGTGTCGCGGTGCAATACACGAGAGGCCTTTTATGTTATTATCCCACCAAGGCCATATAAATGGTAAGCTTCACAACTCACAAGATATACTGTCCTGTTTATGGGTGCTATTCGATATGGTGACTGTGCTTTGTTTGAGTATATTTCGCAATCAAATCTATCATCGTTCACCCAATTGTATGTACCGGCTTTTTTAACGGCCATTTTCTTCGTTTCGCACGCGTGTTTGCAAAAATGGTCCACTTATCAAAACCATTGCACTTGGATGCCGGGTGCTGCTCTCTTTCTCCTTCGTACGTTCCTCATACGTTTCTTCTTACTCGACTGCAAGTAATCAACATCTTTTTGTGAAATTAATGCTCTTTTTGAAGAATTTAATTAAAAAAAAAGCAATTGCCATCAATTTAAAACAAAACATAATTCTACACTTCAACATTATTGTACATTTGCTGATTATTTTATTTTTTTATTATCAGTTCATGAAACACCCTTACTGCTGCTGTAAGTCTTGTTTCGCGACTTGCAGCCCCAAACGCCAACACTCTTACTAATACAAGCATGGAGTACAGCTACTCGACAGAATCTATGATGCTGACGCTATAGCAGACGTTAACAGCTCACTCCGGGAGGTATGCTGAAAATTTTCAATTTATCATTCCCTTAAATTCTTGAGTATCATTCTACGATACACACTATCTATTAAAAGCTAATTCTTTTTTTATTTTTGACCTTGATGCTAAATGTGTCCTGATGGATGTTAAATATTGAATTCGCGAAGTATTGATAGCATACAAAGTCCAATCTACAGCCATTGTCGGTAGAGGGTTGGTAACAAAAGAGAGATAGTTGGTGAAAGATAGAGAGAGTAATATTTTAGGGTTGGAATTAAACGAATGAGTGAGCGAGTAAGTGAGTAACCGCGTGCTAGACGGTAAGCAAAAATCTACCGTTTGTCATCGAGTGTATTATTCAGAATGTAATCGATTCAAGTTTTATCAAAAAAGTGTAAAATAGAAAAAGATCGTGTATTATAAAAACATGAGGGTGATATTTATGTGAGTAGATATGGTAGATGTTGTTGCGTGAGATTGCATTATCATTCATAAATCATTCATATTTTTTTCACTGAACATTTCAAATGTTTACTTAGACTCTATTGATTTACTTATCAAGTTTCTGCAGACTAAAATAAATATTTATATTATCCATTCTTCCTTATCAGCATTAAATATTAATATACTATAAAATTTTTTTATTTTTGCAGGTGTCGCATTGAGTATCTGCAATGAATTTCCCACCGTTTGGAAGTCATTTTCCTGGTACAATCCCTAGCATCCATCAGTTTACTGCTGATGGTTCCAGTGGAACTAGTGCTCGCTATGCTAATCATTTCCCCAATCAGCCTCCTATTGGAGTGCCGGTTGTTGGGAAATATCGTCCAGAGGTGAATGGAGCACAAACTGGTCAAAGTCAGGGAATGATTAATAATAAAAGTACCTATTCCAATAGTAATGTACATTCACATTACTCAAATGTGCCATACTCTCAAGCACAATCAGTGCCACAGCGACCTGCTAATTCACCAGGGATGCCTGAAAAACGTTCTTATCACCAGGTTTGTCTTTTTCAATAGACCCCTATGACGATTTTTACAGTAAATAATCAATTAATTTAGTCGAATAATTTCTTTTATCTGCAGGACGTTTGTAATCTACTTCAAGAGAAGAATAAAAAAGAGAAAAAATCTGAAGAACAACAAAGAAATACTGGAGAATCTGCTAGTACGATAAATGATACGGGCGGACAGCAAGATTATTCCATCCATCAGCATCATCAGCAGCATGCACACACTCAAACACCTGCATCAATGCCAGCAGCATGGCAATCTTTAGCAACTCCTGGCACAGTGGCTGATTATCTCAGCCATTTACCTGCAAGTACTTTACCACTTAGCTTGCATCATATCCTTAAATATTCTGCAGAGAGTATTAAGAAAGAGTCTGAAATGCAAGCGCATACCACTTCTGTGGCAGTTGCAACTACGACTACACCAAATATTATGATGTCTCCTAATGCAAAGAAAAAGAAAAAGAAGAAAGTACCTAAAGAGAAAAAACCTAGACCTAAACCTGGTGAAATTCGCCTCACGACTGCTCTTGATGGCTCAACTTTATATTGCTGCCCAGAATGTCATATGGCTTATCCTGAACGAGAACTTTTAGAGCAACATCTTTTGGGGCATACACTTGAGCGTCGATTTGTCTGTGACATTTGTGGAGCTGGTCTCAAACGTAAAGATCATCTAACACGTCATAAACAAAGTCATAATCCAGAAAGACCGTATGTTTGTACTGTATGCCTAAAAGCTTTTAAGAGAAAGGAACAATTAACTTTACACTTTGTTATACACTCGGGTGAGAAAAGGCATGTATGTACTGAATGTGGAAAAGGATTTTACCGCAAAGATCATCTTAGAAAACATACACGTAGTCATATTGCAAGAAGAGTTAAGGCAGAACTCAGTCAAAATGCCAGTATGTAGTTAATTTAATCTAATTGATTGGTTTTCTATTTATTAGATTGAAAACTAATGTTTGGTAATTATTTAGGTGGTCAACAACAAAATCAACAACAAAATAATGTAACGAATATGCAAGCTACAGCAGTATCAGCATCTTCTGTATTAACTGGTGGTCATCCGGGTCCTCTCCTGTCCTGAGCCCCGCCATCAGGGAGCTTTCAAGTTCCCCATCCAAATAATAGTGTTATTAATTCTCATCCAACAGCCCATCAATCTCATGTTCATCATCACCATTTAGCTGCTGTTAATGCTGCAGCACATCAAGCAGCTGTGGGAGTACACACAGCTTCATCAAGCCAATATCCGAGTCCAGAACTTAGCTTTCTTAGTCATGTAAAAAACTTCTGAGAATTACAAAAATTCTTGAAAGGTAAACGATTTTTTTCATTTATTCAATGTACACAAAAGAAAAAAACTGTGTATTTATTTCCTAAAAAACGGTTAAAAAGGTAGTATAAATGATTGAAACAACAATCTTGTCCTACTGTATAGATTTTCAAGAGTTGAACAATATTTTCTTAATAGATTAAACTACAAAGATCACATGACATAATAATTTCAATGAGATAAGATTAAGGAAAATAACTAAAATCAAATGTAGTAGAAAGTTAAGATGAATTAATATTTAGATATGTTTTTAATTTGTAATTGCAATATAAATTTAGATTTTTATTATTAATTCAAGTAATAGAATATTTGAATAAATGTCAGTATTTTTAAACAGCATTATTTCTCAAAATAAGTGAAAACAAAGTTTTTGGCAGCTATATTTTAGAATTATTAAGTAATTATATAAAAATGCTAAATTTTTTCATACGTTTTGTGTATTGTTTATTATTGTTTTCTTTTTTTATGAATTTTGTCTTTAAAATTTTTTAAATATTTGTTGAGTACTGATTAAATCTATAAGTTTCAATGTTTTTGAGATGATTTTTTACCTCCTATGTATATAAAGAAAAGTAGATCTAAAAAATAATACTATAGAATTAATTATTATTACATGATTAAAAGCCAATATTGCTGCATTAATCGTCATTAGTCTGACGATCATTATTCTTGTAGACTTCTGGTTGTGATTTTTTGTGATTGCTCGCCGTAAAAAAAAATAATATTTTTTCAGTACCTTTTTTTCCATATACTCATATTTTCTGTTAACGTGCCATTGTTATTTTCATTTTTAATGTTTGTTTCCTGACAATTTTTTTTAATTTTACTTTTCTATTCTCTAATTCTATACAATGGTGGACAAAAATGATATGAATTTATCTATACATACTGTAAAGAATAAGTTTTATGCGTAGTTTATAATTAACATGATCAAAAGCGTGTCCCGATTTACTTGAAAAGCTTTTGGAAAATAAAAAATCGATGAGATATAGTGACATAATAACAAAATATATATATAAAAAAAAACACGCTCTTTGGTCATTTGGCAAATGCCAAATTCAGGTTTTTCAATGTCAGACCTCAAATATATAAACATAAATAGTTTTTAAAAATGATTATTCTATGAAGCACACGTTATACTGTTTACAAACAGCATTACGAAAATTGCATAAATATGTGCTGCTGAGTATATGTAAAAATTATAAATGTAAAATGATGTATTGAAGCTGCATTGGAATATTCCACCGCCACCGTACTATTATAATTATAATCATAATTTAAGCGAGTATAGTAATGATAGTTTGTAAGTTTGTATACAAAAATAAAGAATGTAGTTCCATAGGATAACAAAAATCAGGCGATAACAATATAAATTTTTAATTTGACAAAATATAAAATATTAGTAATAATTAAAAGAGAGCTAATGGAGAGAAAGAGAATGCAGTAATGTAATGAAGAGATTGTATGTTATCGGTCTTATATTTTTCATTGTAACATTTATGGTAAAAACAGGCGAATAATTGAATATTCTTGCCGTGTTAGGATAAAACTTCATATGTATGTATTTTATTCGATAGGAACACTGCCTATTTGAGCATGGACTTGAATAGTTTTCATTTTAAAACGGTGTATTATTGGAACATAACTTTGAGTTTTATTTATGCTATTTAGTAAATATAAAAAATTAATACATTTATAAGGAATAATGTAGACGCCTAGATAAAATATGAGAAAGTGGAAAAGAGAGATTTAATATTTTTTGTATTGCAAAATAGATAACAGAGCTGAAAAAGATGTAGGGTTGAAAGGCTACATAGAGCACCTGAGACATCAAAGCTTTCTCGTGGCGTATGCTTGGTATTTAAATTGTACTTTATATGCATCATCAAAGTCCACCGAATCCACGATCCGAAAGATGTTTCAGAGCTTTTTTTTTATAAATCTTTTGTTAAAATTTCTCTACATCTTCCATCAGTCGGCTCTAATGTTTACTATAATTATTGCAATAAATTTACTTTGCGCAATAATATTTTTTTTAATGAGTTGCAATGTTTTTGTTGAATTAAAAAATTTTTTGTTAAAAATATAATGTATTTTTGAATATAAGCAAATTAGTTATGTTATTTTTTATAAAAGTATTGAATGAAATTTAAAATTAATTCAAACATTGAAACTAAGTTTCACACTTTTTAAGTATGTTGCTTATAAAGTTATGAATCGAATGGTATATTTTGTATTTTATTAATTTATTTTAAAAAAGTAGCGAGAAAATTTGAAAGAAATGTAATAGGTTCTCAAGAACTTGTACTGATATGTTTCAAATTTTGCTAGACAATTAAAAAAACAAACGAACGATCAAGAGAATATTTTTCTACACAATGTCAAAATTTACATTGTAAATTTCATCATTGTTTAACAAGGATGATAATTGTAAACAAAATCAAGAACAATATTAAATTAACAAGGAAAAGTGTAAACAAATGCTTGGATGTTGGTTTTAAGTATTGATGTGATTCGTTGGATACTGGATGATGTGAACAGTAAAAATGAATATGATTTTTATTGCTTTTGTTGTTCAAACAATAATGAACTTACTGAGACTAATGTGTTGCGAGTGGTAACTGTATTATGTAGGAAATATATAAATAATAATTATAATAGTTATACATTTATAATAATGTAGAGAGTGCGTAAGGTTGATGATAAAATTGGAATTTTTCTTTAAAAAATCATATATACAGAACAATATCGAAAGCGAAAAATGAGAAAAGAAAATTCATTGATAAAGTACAAAGAATGATAAACACAAAAGTAACTTCTTTACTAGCATTATAATAGTTAGAGTCAGTTTATAAGAAACCTAAGTGTTTATATTTTTTTGTTCGATCTCTAACATTATTTATTTTTTGCCATTTAAGTCATCCATAGTAGAACCAGGCTCTTCCAGAAAACAATTGGAATCAGAACAAAAGTAACAATGTGCATATTATCGTTCTTCGCAGCAAAAGTTTAGAATATGTTAATCATAACTAATAAGAAATGAATAAAAAATAAATCGTGAAATAAAAATGTTGGGAGGAAAATTAGTTTAAGAATTCAATAATAGACGGACTGTGCGTAATTGAGCGATTCCACCTATGATCTCAATGTTTTATTTTTGTATAGATTATAAAAATGCATAACCTTTGATAACATATAAATAAAAAAGCCACAGAGAATAAAAAAGAATGATAGAAAGCGATAGAAATAAAAATATACAGAAATGCTGAAAAATATTTGCAAAAAAAAAAAACAATTAAAAACATTCCTCAATGCTGCTTTAACTTATACTCTACCTAACATACTTGATTGTATGTAAATTATACACACAGAAGATTGTAATAAAGTCGAAGTTTAATATTCATTATCTGTCTCTTTTATTAATTACTTTAATAATAAACCATCAATCAAGTAAAAAATACATCATAATAAGTTATATAAATCAATAACGAAAACTTACTTTCCATTAACATTTTATGTTCATTCTATAAGTACGTATACAAATACAAAGAATTAATAAAAAAGCTTCATTATTATTTAATAACAATTCATAGATTACAACCTTTGTAAGTTCATTTCTTTTATCACGAATTATAAAAACTAAGTACGAAGAATAGAGAATGGTGATGTTCTTAATTGTCGTACCATCATGGCAATATTACCAAGAGTTTCTCCATTTGGGTTTCCACGGTCTTCATTATTATTAGCATCGTCATTTTTGTTATTATCATTATTATTATTAATATTTGTATTATTGTTGCTATTATGATACTGCGGTTGAATGTTCATTTTATTATTAGAAATATGACTTTGAAGATGTTTCTTCAAATGGTCTTTTCTAAAGAAAGCTTTGCCACATTTGGAACATATTTGATTTTTACTACCAGAATGAATTATCATATGACGAGCAAGATGCTCATTACGTTTGAAGGCTTTACAGCAAAGAGAACATTTGTAGGGTCTATCCTTGTTATGTCCTTGTTTATGACGATCTAAATGTTCTTTACGTTTGAGACTAGCACCACAAATATCGCAAATATGAGGTCGTTGTCTGTGCTCCTCTAAATGAGCATGAAATGTGTCTTGATCTTCGAATTTTGTCGGGCATTCTGGACAGTGCAATATTACAATACCTGCAATCAATTAGAAAAAATGTTTTGAGTTGTTCCTTAAGTCAAATAAACATGACATTGAAAATTTAAAGTAGAATAAATTGTATTCTCTTAAGATCATTAAGTCCTTGAGAAAAAAATTTTCGTTTACAAACCTTCAGATAGACAACTGTTGAAAGTAGAATCGTATTGTGATACTCGATTAATTCCTAATGAATTAGAACATCTTGCTAAATATTCCGAGGTTCGTCGAAAATCAATCGACAAAGGATCGGTCATTGTTGAAGCGTCGATTTTTTTAATTTGATTGTTAGTTGAATTTTTAATAGGCGATTGATGTGCATTACCTTGATTCATTTTCTTATGATTAAAACTATTAATATCACGATTTTCATCCATTTGACCAGCTCGACAATTGTATGATGAATAATTTAATGTACTTGCTTCATAATTATTTAGTTGCGGAATATCTGATGAGTATTTTGAATTGCCAGATTCAAAAGCCATTTTTTGATGAATAGTTAATTTCTGATTTTGTTAATATATTAACTATAAGTTACTTTAAAGTTAAAGCATTTAAATGATATAAAAAACTACATTTAGTGTATTTAATTCATGATGAAACCCTTCACTTTACAACCGACGAATACATTTATTCATTCACTATGATTCGTTGTCCATAACGATTTGATAGAAAAAATTAGAAGCTTCTATTCACCCCACATAACAATATAAAATGAATAAATTGCGCATTACGTCCGTATAAAGACGCATTAGCACATCAACTACATGCAATTATATAAAAGAAACTTTGTACAATTTAAATTCACCACTTATGGCTTATAATATCATTTTAATATACATAATTAAATTAATAAAATTGTTAATCAATTATTTTAGAACCTGTTTCACAGTAAAAATATTTTTTTAGCACGAGATACTGCAGACATCTAGAGGAGGTACTGAAGTGTAGAAAGGTAAAGCCGCTAGGGGTTGAGAGATTTCAAAACATGATGAAGGATCTTTAATAAACGTCTGTTGGTCAAGGTGTATTAAATTTTACAATTATTTTATTTTAATATATAACTTTTTTTATAAATCTAAATTTATTATACAGTTTATTAATTACATAACAATGAATAATTATTTATAAAAATATAATTATAGAAAATATTTATATATTCAACTTCCCATTAGGAAGTCATTGGTGAAATTTGAATTTTTATATCTTCACATTTCAAGATATTTGCGAGCATACTGACTAATTTTAATAATGAGTGTGTACGTATGTATCTCAGCATTTTTTTCGTTTTCTATATCTTAAGATCGAAATATCGACTTCAATCAAAATTTATTCGAAAGATATTAATATAAAGAATAAAGAAAATCTAAATGAAATTTGAACGAATTCGGTCGAGCCATTTTTTTATAACAAAATAACTAATAAATAAGTGAAAAGATTAGCTACTTAGAAGACTTTAAAGCCAAACGATAACAATTTCATTTAAAAATTAAGTTGATATTGACAAAACATTATTGTACATAATCAAATATGACTTTCAAAAATTACGTATTGTTTATAGCAACTTGAATATGTTATAAACAATTAATAATGAGAAGTTTGTCGTGTTAGCACCAATAAAGTGTGCTCAGACCTATTTTTATTTAATAATTTTAAGCAGAATAAATATTTTATGAATGAATGGCTGGCAGTGGCTGAATGTTTATTTTTCCAAGATAATATGTACCTGTTTTTGAAAACCTTACTCCAATTTCATTTATTGTTCTATTTATAGTACGATAGTAGCTGTTGATTTAAATTGTTAATGTAGATAATAATTGTAAATAAAATGTATACTTTTTAATTAAAAATTCTACGGACCTTTTTTTCCATTTTGCATTAATTTCGAATGTCTCATAAGGCTCCATAAATTGAAATGATTGATTACTGAGTAATATCAAAGTAGGATGATTTGCAGTCTGTTCGGTTGCCTCATTTGTATCTAAATCTTCACTAGATCGATGAATTACATATATTTGAACATCAGAATTAAATTCCAAATGCACTAAAAATAATCTGAAATTTCCAATAAATTATCAGAATTCAGTTACGTTTAAAACATTATTTGTTATTAATAAAAATAAAATAAATTGACCTATAGTATACTTGTGAATCGCTTGTGGTAATTTTAACTGATTTGCCACCATTATAGGGACATCTTTTAGAGCAATAAATATTATTTTTTAATTCTGATTGTAACTTTTTCTCAACTCTTATTTCATGACCACGAACGGTAATGACTTGTAACGCTGTTTCGTATATACATTCAGGAATAAATTTTTCTTTCTTTTCTTCACTCACTTCATTTACCTCATTCTTTTTCTTCAGACATCGTACAGATGTGAATTTTAAGTGTATGCTTGGAACAGACATTTGCGGTTGTTGCCAAGATAAATTATAAAACGGTTGTGCCGCATATTTATCACATTCACCGTGATAATAAAACTTTTCACCAGATCCAATACAGAATGATGAAGAAAAGGATACATTTTCATAAATAGGAACATGCACGTATAAATATGGAGTGAGTTGAGCCCAGAATATATTTTCAATTAACATAAAATCTTTGGCATTGAAATTTTCATGTGTCCAGCCTGGAGCAAATATGGCAACTGAGAGATCATGTTCTCGTATATTTTTTAATGCCTGAAAAAAATGAATATTCATCAAATGAATAACAGACAGTATTGTGATTTTTTATGTATATAACACATTATATAATAAATAAATTAATTCTACAAAAGTTTAACTTTACCTCAATAGAATTAAAACCTCCGCCACCAGGACATCCTCTACCCCAAACATCTAAACCAACATAAATGTCTTGTACTCGATTATTTAAATCTGCCATAGCTCGACTAGTTGCTAATCCAGCATCAGTCCAATTATAATTCAAAAATATTCCATCGCAATTTTCAAAAAAATCTCTAAAAATCAACCAAACGAACGAATATATATCAGTACCTATCGAGTTATTGAATTGATTGTGTGACTAATTGAAAGTTCTTACTTATTATGCTCATTTAATTGATTTTGCCACTTTAATTTACCGTCAATTGTAACACTATCATACCAAATAACTTCAGATCCTTCAATATTACTGTGCATTTCCACAGTTAAATACTGAACAAAATAAAGCAACTGTTGAATGTGATCCTTTTGTATTTCATTTTCAATATTTAAAAGCCATCCTTCAAACTTATAATACTTTGCCAACATAACAAGAGCATCTGCAAATTTTTTTGTTTCTTCAATTGATGAAAGAATATGCTCCCAAATAATTTCACCATCAGTTCTTTCAGTAATAACTGTTCCCAACACTTTAACTCCATGATTATGAGCTGCATTAATCCAACCATAAGGTGGTATTGTCACTAGATAATGACTAAAGTATATGAAAATATCTACAATACTCCAATGATAAAATAAGTAAGAATCATGAGCTAAAGAACCATAAAGAAATCTGTAAACAAATAAAAAAAATTACAAGCTCAAGTAAAGTATCTCTGTTATGAAGAACAATTTTTTTAAATAATTTTCTTACCTATCTTCCAAGTAGCCTCCTTTCATATCATGGCAAATTATTGTTTTAGGTTTTTTATCGCGATTTAATTTTGTCAAACGACCTGTCACTCCTTTCAAATCACAAATTTCTTTTCCATCATAAACGTAATCTGTACATTCACGTAGTTTGACAATATCCAACCAAGGCTCCAAATTCTTTAACCCATCATAAAGAGCATCTAACGTAGCAAAAGGTTTCGCAGTACGATGATATGTGTCAATACTATTAGCCATTTTTATTAGAATCGAGATTTCATGAGTTTAAATGCTCTCTCACGTGTTATAAAGATCCTTTCTAAACAGAAACAACTTTTCAATCAACAACTCCACCAATAAATCTCTCATTTTATTGTTACTGTCAACAAAGACTGCCGGAAATGACTAGTTTTTCAATATCTAAGTAATACAAGGAAACTAATTATTTTTTATCTTTATCAGTTGTTTAATTAAATTAATGATAATTAATTTAAAATCATCTAATCATCTAAGCATCATGTTACATGACAAACACAAAGTGGTGTGTGATCAATTACCCAGAAAATTTTTATGTGGCGCCCTCAATAGTGCTTTCAGTGACGTTTGCCGGTACAACAGTTGACCAGTGGCGAAGGGTGCGCTTTGAATAATAAAAAGATCCGTGGGTATATATATGTTTTACAATTGGATTTGAGTACACACGATTTTGTACACCTAAACCGAAAGTGTTGCAAACTGGTCACTGTTCTATCGTTAATCAAATTATTCATTTTAATCTGTTGTGTGAAAGTTTTTCTATGCGAAATTTATCATTTGGCTTCGAAAAACTGACAGTTTCATATTCGAACAATAATGTTTTCTTACATCAAGTGTAAAATTATTTTAAACAAGTAAACCCTTATGTTTACATTTTCGAATAAGTATCACAAAAGTTATAAAATATTTATTAAAAAATTTTTCATCTTCTAATCAAGTTTTTAATAAGTGTAATTAAATTTACGTGAACTAACCTCTAAAAGTGTTGTGAAAATTTAAACAAATGGCTAATTTGCGGCAAACTCCTTTGACATGCAGTGGACATACAAGGCCTGTTGTTCATTTAGCATTTTCTGATGTCACAGACACGGGTTACTATCTAATTTCAGCGTGTAAAGGTATGAATGATTCTAACATTGAAAAAATAAATTATCCCCCTTAGATTTTACTGCCTTTTTACTGATTTATTAGCATCCTTCAAATGCTAATATCCGTGTTCTTGACTGCCTTGGCCTAGTTCCGGTGTTTTCAAGACTTCGTACTTTTATTCGCCGATAACTCGAGGTCACTTTTGTGATTTGATATAGTAGTTCCTTTGAATAATCGAATTTAAACCTTGATGTTCCCTCATGTAATCATTCATTGTTTACATTATCTTCATTTCCTACTTTCAATTAAATATTTACATTAAAATTGTTTTAACTTTAGATGGAAAACCTATGTTAAGACAAGGTGACACTGGAGACTGGATTGGTACATTTGAAGGACACAAAGGAGCTGTCTGGGGCGTTGATTTAAACCGCCAAGCAACCAGAGCAGCTTCAGGTGCTGCTGATTTCAATGCTAAAGTCTGGGACGCTATCAAGGGCGAAGAGATTCATTCATTCCAACATAACCATATAGTCAAGTCTGTTGGATTTAGTACAGATTCAAGCCATTTGTGTACAGGGTCAAATGAAAAATTACTACGTATTTTTGATCTCAATAAACCTGATGCTGCACCTCAAGTAAATTGATTATGAATATTCTGATTAGTTGTCTAGAAACCAAATTCATCTTGTCTAGAAAATGATATCTTATTTTGGAATATAATTTGACTTCATAATAAGAACATATTAAATCAATTAATTATTGAATCAACAATATTATAATTTTGGAGCAAGAAAATTTTTTTTTATTCTTAAACTGATTACTTACTATTGATAAATAAAATCTTGTTTTTGAATGTTTACTAATTTTTTCAATGGTTTCAGATTTTAATTAATTACTTTCAAAGTGATCTAATGAAATAATGATTGTTATTTTTAAGGTATTCTCTGGCCATACCAGTTTCATTAAACAAGTAACGTTTTTCAATGATAATAAAATGATTGTTAGCTGTGCTGATGACAAAACGTTGAGAGTATGGGATAGAAGTACTGGCCAAGAAGCTCGTCGACTTGATTTTCCTGCTATTCCAAGCTCAATGGAGGTTTCTAAAGACGGGAAAATAATTACAACTACTCATGCTAATATTGTATCATTTTGGAATAGTCAAGAGTAACTATCTACTTTTACTTTTTTATATTCATCATTCATCAAGCTTTCTCTTCTATTATATTGTAATTTCTTTTTTATAGTCTAACAAAAATACGAGAGTACACTATTCCTACACAAGTCAATAGTGTTAGTTTACATCCAGACTGTACAATTTTCGTCTGTGGTGGTGAAGATTTGAAGATGTATAAATTTGACTATGCAACCGGTGTAGAATTAGGTAAATTTGATTTGTATTATAATTTTTGTCTCTTCTACATACATTCATTAAAATATAGTCAAGACAGGTTATTTCTGCCCTCAGGGAGTATGTCGACCTAGATTTATAGAGTACTGAGAAGTATTAAATCATTTAGAAATATGTATGTTCTTTTCTCTGTCTTGAAATTTGCTAACAAAGCATTTCTAAAATTGAAGTTAACAAAGTTTGTGAGAATGAAAGTATTTATAAATTTTTGTTACTAAAAGATTGATTTAAAAAAAAATATTTATATTATAAAAATAGGATACAAAAAGGAAACAAATGAAAACATTCAGTTTCAAGGATTATGGATATCTTTTTTCTTAAAATTCACCTTGTGAATCAGAAATAAATAATTCAAAACATAGCATTGAATTCAATGATAAGAATAAATATTTAATTGATTATCTTTTGATTATACCTGTTGTTTTAAGAATGAAATGTTTCTTTTAATTACACTGTGAAAATTTAGAGAAATAATTTAACGAAGCCATGACATAAATAGAATTTTTTCCTCATTTCTATTACTCTCATTTTAAACTTAGAGACTAAAAACATATGATTTTCAATGCATAGTGGTTATTAAGTAACGTCGTTATTATAAAAATGATGATAACATGTATTTTTACTTTCAGAATCATTTAAAGGACATTTTGGACCAGTGCACTGTGTGCGGTTTTCTCCGGATGGAGAATTATACGCAAGCGGTTCAGAAGACGGTACTTTAAGATTATGGCAAACGACTGTTGGAAAAACCTATGGCCTATGGCGTTGTACTGAACAATCATCAGTCCAAGAAAATTCTTCCACTGTTAATAATAAACAAGAAGTTTCCGCAAGTTAAACAATCCAGATGCTTTCATTGTAATTTAATACTGAATCTACTATTTTCTGTGCAATGATGTAATTGAAATACTCTGGAATCTTTGAAAATTTTTGTATGGGATCTCATTGTTATATCTGTATTCTTTTTGTGAAGTATGTTGATGAGAAGTTCATTTAATATATTAATTAAATTGCATTGGATTATTAAAAAGGTTTTTTAATTCCAATCGTTAGATTAATGACAAATTATTTCATTAAAAATAAATAATAAGTATAAAAAGTATCAGTAAAAAGAAAATAACATATAAACAACAATAGAAAACATTTATCAGATATAATACATAAAATAAACAAAAAAAGAGATAGAGAAATAAAAATAAAACTTTTTCACAATAGTATCAACTACACAGTTTAACACAAAAAAATTAAGAAAAATAGCACATTCAGAACTCGGCAGATGAAATAAAGTGAACACTACAGCACTTTCTTAATAAGTATAGAGTAAGTTAGATAAGTCATTTTTTACACATTCATGAGCTGTTGTAAAAACATTACTATGTAATAGTACAGTAATGAACCTGAACAATGAAATGAAAAGCACGAATTATATTTACATGCTGGTATTGTTGTGCTGAAAATTAACCAAGAAATTGAGAGAGATCAGGAAGTTTGAAGTTGCTGAAAGGATTACTTGGTCCTGTAGAGAAGGAAGATGCAAATGCAGTTGCATGGGATGTTGAAAATTGTCTTGAAGACTGGTTTGACGTGGCGAGAGCAAAACCACATTGAGCAGTACAAATTTCATCACGTAGAATGGCTTCACGGGAAGCTTCACGTAATAACTGGTCACAGTCAGTGATTCGAAGCGAAGCACACTGAGTCTGAAAATTAAAATTTATTTATCATTCACTCATAAATTACATTTGCTTACTTAATGATGATAGATCATTTACCCCTTCATTAGTACAAATACAGCTTGTACATGGAGTAGGGAATCCAGATTCACCAACAGCAACGTTTCTACCACCAATTTGACACCCATGCCTTACTTCTCGCCACGGAGTGAAGTCCATAGCAGCCATAGAATTGCATGGCACTCTTGGGTTTAAGAAATTTGACGGCAAGTCAAATGCAGCTCTTTGCATTTCAACATGTGAATCCATGTTTTCACAGACTACTTTAGAAAGAGTATTTTTTCTAATTTCATTGAGCTGAGCTTCAGTAAAGCGAATATTAGGATCGTCGGTTTCATACCAAAATCTATCGCATTTTCGTAATTGTCTAAATTGTATGGCAATGATGCAGCCAAAGGTCGGACCAACTAAACCACCTTGGAGAGGCCTTTCATTCATGCCACCAGGGAAAAGATCAATATCATCAACAGAAGCATAAATTCGTTTGAGTCGTGCTATTGCTTCCGGTGCTATTTCTCTTGAGAGATCTTCAAAGGTTGTAGCTCGTTTCAAATTACAAAGTGCTCTGTAACTATTGTAAGACGGTATTCCATGATCACGAGCTCGCTGAACATTCAAAGCAATAAGATCTACACCAGAGAATGGTATCTTGCGGTTTTCAAAAAGATGATTAGTTACTTCACCCGTGATAAATTGATCTAAAGTTTCCATAGGAGTTGAAACAAGTCCTCGGATAATTTCGTCAATCATGTCTTGTCTGTATAACATATCAACATTGAAAAATCCATCACGTAAAAGAATTGGTGGGTCGATAGGTCGATAATTTTTATCCATCCGTGGAATATGAGGACGCAAAAGAGAATGACCAATTCTAAAAGCTGCAGTTGCGAATTCGGTGAGAATACTTGGGTTACAAGTTGGAGAATATTCTTTATAATATCCTTGTGGAAGAAGTTTAAGACCGTAGAGAGTAACCGCATTCCAACCAAGGATTCTTGGTAAGAATTCATTATAAGTGATATGCTGCATCATTGCGCTAAGAATTCTTCTAGTTTCCTGATAAAGTTTCTCACCATCCCAGTGAGGATTAACTCGTCTTAAACCTTCCATAATTCGATTATGTTCTCGTACCCACATTGTATGCATCACTGTAAGAGCAGGTTGTTCAGAAGCACGTCCGTCTCCACCGATAAAGCAATATCCCGATGGTGATTTACATTCTGAGTGGGTAGCAGACTGTGGTAAAAGATCTTTGGCTCTATTCGGATGAACTGTGATATTCATACGACCATTGAAGCTTCTAAGAACATTTGCTATGCATATATTTTCACCATAAACCACTGAAGCATCAAGGAAACCAGTGTTTTGATTAACTTGCTCACGTGGACCTAAAGTCTGTTGCCCGGGTAGAGATCGCATAGATGGGAAGCACATTCTTTCACCAGTTGTTTCATTGATAGTTGGAAAAAAGTGATCACCGACTGGTATTGGGAAAGGATTGCACTCCGGATGAACAGTTTGCGGTGAATCACATGATCTACAACTTGGTATCGATTCTGCGAATCCTTTGTGAATTGGTGTCATTGTAATATCGTGATCTAAGAATTGGGCAAACTGCATCACCATAAGTGTGTATCTATTATGAAGATTGGAGATATCTGGATGCATGATCGTAGAAATAGATCGAGGATTGGGAAGAAGTCCACCAGTAACAGAAGTTATTCGTGGCTTAGAAACTCCATCTTCATAGACAGGTGGTAAAAGCCGTGCAAAAGTCGTCAGTGATTTTCCAAGACTTGGATTACGTAAATTATTACAGTGGCCTGTGAAAGTACGATAAGGACTTGTTGGATCGCAGATGCCTTCCTCAGGCGGACAATCAATTTCTTCATGATTAGTTGCCTTAAAATTCGGTGTGATATTACTTAGATCGACATTTTGAAGTAAATCTGAGAGATCAGTAGATGAAGGGAATTCAAAGAAGTCATCTGAATTACCAAATGCTTGTCTCTTACGGCGTTTTAATCCATGAACACCATTGATTATTTCATTAGTTGCTAATTCAAAGAGTATCGAAGTATTGGCTAAAATTAAAGCATCTCGATTGGCCTTTGAAAAGCTTGCGGCTGTGCCTGCGGGGGATTTAGGGTCAGCTATTCTCTGTTGAAGCCATGAATTATATTCCAATCGTTTGCGTTCAACTAAATCACGTTCAGCTTTTTTCAAAGCAGCTTTAATCATTTCAGGAGTTATTAAAGAGTTTGACGAAAATCTTTGATTATAAGTATGCTTCGATGCTCCTTTGAGAATATCATCCGCTTTATGGTTCATTTTTCTAGGTTTATTTTGCAAGTTATCTTGTTTATTATCCCTCCAAGCGGTTAGATCAAGTGGATTATAACTGTCGCAATCAATTTTTGCATTTAAATATTCATCGCTTTGTATGAAAGCCATAGGCTGAATTCTTGACATTTTCATATTTGCACAAAGTAAACCACTTAAACTTACTTTTTTAATTGCAACAAGTTGCTCACTCGTAAAACTCGAGGGTGGTAAATCATTTTCATACCAAAAACGGTCAGAATTTTTTAATTTGTACAGTTGACGTGCTAGTAAGCAGGAAAATGTTGGACCAACGGCTGCACCTCGATTAGGAGTTTCAAGAATACCTCCGATCAATAAATCAACATTATGAATATTTCCATAAATATTTTCAAGTAATAAAGCGTCTTCTTGAGACATAAAACGCGTCGAAGATCCTCCAGTAGGATTACAGTAATCCAAATAATTAATGTATCCGGGAATTCCGTGATCCCTCGCGATATGAATCAACAATGCACTGATGTTCCATGCATGTAACATGTCATTGTGAGCGAAACGTAATGAACGGCGGGATTCCATAATATCAAGATTAAGTCCTCGCGCTACATTATTGAGCTTATTTTCCAATGGAGTACTAGAAGCTTGTCTCGATAGTGATGTAAGAGCTGGGAGTACCGCAAGAGCAACAGCATCAAAAGTGCCAGGTCTATTAGCAGACGAATAGTCTCGATAAAAACCATTGGTTGATTCTTTTAACTCTTCACCAATCGCCGATTCCCCTAAGATACTCGATGCAAATTCATGAATAGTAATCCGTTGTATTTGCGCAATCACTGCACGCCTCGCTTCTAAAAACAATTTAGCATCATCCCAATGAGAGTTTAAATGCTCTAGATTTCTTGCTATCCTGTTATGTTCCTTTAAAATTAATGAATATAAGTACTGAAGTGCATTATCGCTCTGATTACATATTTCGCAAAATGCTATATTCACTTGGCCAGATTTATAAGTTCTTATGCGATTCATTTGATCATCACTTATGCCATAAATATCAGATCCATCCAGGTAGCTGGAAGCTGCATTCATTTGTTCTCTGTATTCAAATTTACAATTGTAAGAGCTGCGAGTTGGAACGGCTCTTAAGTAAGGTGTACAATTGTCCATATAATCATGAGTGGAATAACATTCAGGGTTTTGGCTGTTCTGACAGCATTGCATTACATCAAGACTAGGTGTAATTGGCGTAGCGATATCGCGGAGAACTAGTTCAGCCCATAAACCTGCCAAACTCGTCAATTCCTTTCGCTCTTCTTTTGCTGTCATTTTATGGAGTCTTGCGATGATATCCATCGGTGATGGAAGCGCACGACGGCCCACTGATGATCTAGGCGTGGAAATACCTGTGGAATTTAAATTTTACTTGGTTATCACACAACTGTTTGATTGATATTCAATTGATAATGTTAGCATATTGAAGTATATAATAAATCAATGTGATCATAGGTTCATTGTATAGTGCAATAACTTATTTGCATTGTGTCTTACAGCACATGTTATGGCTTTTCTGGTTCACTGCTCACACCAGGATCATGCTAACTCGTGCAAACTAGTAATTTTAAACTGTTGATCACTGTCAGAAGCTAGCTGTTAAATTGCTTCGTAGAAATCGGGACATGGAGCAACGAAGAGCCAGCAAGGAGCGGTGTGAGCTGCGTTCCAATTTTCACTTTCCATTCTTGACCTGATATAAGAGAGGTACGTGCCCGTGAGCAATAGCCGATTGACCATCAACTTTCTTTCTTCCTCATGTACGTGTATACTGTCATCTCAAAATTTAAACTCTCTTTTCTATCAGCTTGAACTATACTAATCATCTTTAGCTAGATGAATCGTGTAATTAACTAATCATTGACTTGAAAAAACAAATTAAATTGGAAAATTTTTTTTTTTAATTAATACATTCTCTTTGAAAGTGTTTGCAATGTGTAAAATCTTTCTATAGTTCAATAAATTCTCATCATTTCGATTTTAATTAGAAGTAATTACAGAGAAAAGTATTTTCATTTATATAATAATATATAAATTTCAAGAGTTTTGTTATGTGTATATTTTCTAAAGAAATTAATATTTATTTTTTATTATGAAAATAAAATAATAATAGGTAAGTTGAAAAATATTCATTAGTAAAACAACTTGTTATTACAAAAAAAAAATAGAATCAACAGAATAAAGAGTGTTCATTAGCTGAATAAACATTAGCTTATTTGAAATTAAAATTTTTCAAATTCAAATAAAACTTTTTTTAATATTCTTAATGTATGACAAGTAAACACTTGCTATCAGAGTTCGAACTAAAATTGTTTTCGACTTGAATTTAAATTTATTTATTTTTGGTTATTTAGTCTTATAAATTGAAATTTACCGTCTGAATATGCTGGTGGAAGCATTTTGATGAAGGGCGATCCTCTAGCACCCCATGATGGATGTCTGATGTTATTACAAGTTCCCGAAGGTGTTCGGAATTCACTTGGAGGACATGGATTCTCCCACGTGTCTTCACAGGTGCTTCCATTCCATTTAGCTTGCTTCCTGTTAAAAATAAATATTCATCTATATTCTATTATACTGGTTTTATAAAAGCACTAGAAATCTTTTATAGTCTCTCCTCTGTCATGTCAACTTGCGTCATCATTTCATTCCAACGAGTTTTACTTTCACGGCCATCCTGACTGCCCAGTCTAGCCGGTAATATCAGGGATTGCCAAAAGAACGTTTCATATTTTTTGCTCTACGTTTCTCTTTTGAGATAACCTTCTTTTTATCGAGTATTTCTCTTGTAATTATTTCATACAAATAATAATTACCAGGAATTCGTTCGATAGGCATGATGCTCTGCTTCTATCGCGGCACGACACTTGGCTTGGAGATCATCATCCACTCCATAAACATATTCTGTAATCAAAAAACATTACGGTTGAAAATTTTTTTCATCTGATAGACACTTATGCGAATGATTAAGTAATGTGGATATGTTAAGAGAATGGATCTTATTTATAGATATATTTGATGAACTGATAAAGTATATAAATATATATATATGTGTATATTATATGCATATATATAAATGCATAAGAACAAGTTCGTATTTATGAGAAAGCAAGCGAAAGTCTAGATTACGGATGTATGTTGTGGGTGGACAGGTGTAGTATAGTGCGTAGATAAGTCGTGTTAAAAATTCATGGAGTTACTTAAATAAAAAAAAACTACTATTGCGTGATTGCAATGTTAACGTAATGAAAGATAGCTAGATAGTATAAAAAATTTTTAATGTTCTAACACAATGGTCTGTGAACTTAATAATTTTTACAGTGAATTTAATATTAACTCATATCTATAATAAAAGTATTGGTAATAATGGTTACTTGCACTAAGACATGATAAGATTTATTATATGCAAAAAAAATTTCTTGAAATGTTATTTAGCTTGAAAAATTTATAGTATTTAAAAATTCACACTTTTTTCTGGTTAATGATATTATATTTCTAAATTATAAAACCACAAGTCTATTTGAGTTTTTTTAGTAAATTTTCTGGGTTCACAATAAATCTTACAAAGTAACTAAGCATTATGAATTGACATTCTTCTTCATGAGAAAAGTTTCAATTAAAAATAACTAAAAAATATTCAGTTGTTTACCTGATATATCAAATAACTGAATTTGTGGTGGGGCAACAGAATCGCAAACCAGTACCAGAGCAGCAAGTACAACTACATAAATTCTGAAAACGAAAAAATAAGTAAATAAAGCAAAAAATACGAATGAGTGATGAAGTCGGAGAAAGAAATCATCAATAAAAGTAAAATAAAAAAATTATAAATACTAGGCATTAATGATCACCAGTAAATGATAGTTATCAATACTTTAGAAAAAAACAATTAAAAATAATTATTAAATGATTAATTTTATAAATTGAAATTTCATTTCCCTGACCAAATAACGTTTTCTCTAGCAAACAACTCCAAATTGATTCTAATTTTAACTGACATAGTTATGTTGAAATTTAACATATTGAACCTTTTCTTTTAAGGAATGTTTTTCTTTCAAATTACAGACACACTTTTACATATTGACGTCAATTATATTTTTTTAAATTTACATTCAACCGAAACAAATGTCCATAAATTTTTTTTAACGAACAATCCCACGTAAGTTTATGTATTAATTAAGTGGATATATAAATAATAATCACGTAAATGAATTCAAGAATAAAAAAAGGTATAAAAATAAAAAATTTACTTTTAATTATGATAATAAAAATAGCGAAAATTTCATTAATCTGTGAATTAATAAGATGTTAATAAACGTTTTCATACGCGAAAATACTATGAAATTATTGCTGTAATTAATGAAGTAATATTGAGCTAACAAAGCAGCTCTAATAATTATAATAATGATAATAATATATAAAATTAAGCACATGATATTCTTTTCAATATATCTTAAATGAAAGGAATTTAAAAAAATGTAAATAAGCCATTTTTGAACAGTAATAAAACTGAATTATTAATTAGAGAAATGTAGAAAAAAAGAAATAAAATAAAACATATAAATTATGACGATTTAGTACTGAGTGTGTTCGTTGAAATTTCTATCTTCATAATAAAATAAATCATGTATTTTTTCATCATAATTAAATATAAATTCAATATTAACTGCAAAAAAAATAGAAATAATAAATTGTGATGGGTAAATTATAGCTGTATCAAGTATTGAGGAAAGTAATTAATGTCATTGATAAACTCGAAAATTAATAGCAACATGTTGTATCATAGCAATTAATAGTCCCTGGCTTACATAATTCCTGTGATCAAAAAATTATCAAAACAAGTTGAAATTTAAATGCTTAAACAATCTCATAGAGATAAATAAGAAAATAAATGTTATTAGAATTGAAATAAAAAAAAACAAATCATTACCCAAGCCAAGATGGAATGTAATGAAAAAAACTTTAGTGATCTTAATGAAACAATGTGTAGTATAATAATTAATGCCCTGGAGGTTAAAAGCACGGTGTTTCGATAGGCCAGGGACAGGGACACTCTCTTTCGATGACGTGCGGCAAAAGTGGCCATACCAAGCTCTCTCTTTTCTTCGTTTTTTTACCCAGATTTATTTCAGCTTCTCGTCTTGTCTGAGATGTTAACATTTCTTTCTCTTATTAAGTGTCTTTTGCATTAAATAATTACAATTTTTTACTCCAATTTTGATTTCTCATGAATCAGCAGCATCTAACACAACAATATATTATGTAGACACTAGATACTAAGAAAAATAATGAGATATGAAAAACTACCTGATGAAAATAATTTTGATGATTAAAAATTGGGTGTCAGTAGGTCAACAGAAATGGAAAGAGAAATCGCCTTTTGATTTGGGCCAGTTTTGCATCTCAGATGGGCCCCTATGGCTTTGGTTATCTCACAAAATGATTTGAGGTGATCAACTTTAAATATCAGGAAAAAGATGATGATAGAGAATTGACATCTCCCGGAAGAAATAGCCGGTTAGTAACACCCAAGCTATGCCGCTTCTGCGGTGAAAGTGCTTTCTCATTTTTTCATTGATTATTGTTACTCAGACTTTTATTTATAATGCAAGTAAACGAACGTTAGTGAATGTTGGACACTAATAATTACCATGATTCGAATGGAATTCAAGGACAGTTACTAACAAATTCCTCCTCAACGGAAATGTTTATAATAATAACAGTTTTTATCTTGATTCTTTCAAACACAAAAGATATAAGTTTTAATTTATTAATCACAATAATATTGCACGAATATTTGTATCTTAAAGAGCATGTGGACAAAAATGTGACCGTTATGGTCAAGAAAAAGGAGAATAATGAGATTGCGATGTGGTTCGCCTTGACTTAAAACCTTCCCCCGATTTATTCTTCATAAGTATTACGCGCGATCATCCCGATTAGTCAATCAAATCTGTAAAAATGTGTGGACAGCAATGACAATGCCCAATTCTTGATCAATGATTCGTTTGAAATAAACTTGAGTAGAAGATTAATGAAATATAAATTTTTACAATACATATTGACGACATAACTCGTTGTCAAACACATAGGGGTCACATATATGCACTTGCACGTTAATAAAAAATTGCAAAAGAAAAAATTAATATAAACGTAACATAGATAAAAAGTTTGAATGAATAAGAATTTATGCACTTGATATACAGATGTTGAATATTAACAGAAGCAAGATAATGATCAGAACGCTCATGAATCCTAATAAACACAAGAAGATGAAGTAAAAACAAATATTGAAGAATCACCGTAGTAAAATCATGATCCGTAAAGTCGTTGCTCTTGTGTAGTCAATAATTCTTGCAGAATTTTCCTTTCGTCAGTGAGTTTGATTTCTTCTTAAGCTTTTGTTCCTTTCTCTTTCTTTGACACGATGCCTTCAAAAAACGTCCCCGTGGTTGGCAGAGTCCAGTAAAGTAACCATGGAGCTGGTGATTTCCTGGTTCGACGATTGGAACCCAACAAACTGAACTCGCGAAACAAGCCTCGGTGCTAGAAACTCGGCCAGAAGTCGTGTGTCGAATGGTTAACTGTAAGAAGGAGGGAGTAAAATACCTCTCTCTTTCTTATTTCCTTTCCTTCACTCTCCGGTATTTTACATCCGAAATTAAATTAATTCAAGCATCTCTACATTCCATAGATAAATCATGTTAGTGGAAGAATTTTTGGATATTTTTTTTTCAATTTATCTTGCCCTTTTCAACTTTCTTCCTTCGTTGCAACGTGTTGGTCTGAGTTTGGTTGGAAGTTGAACCTCTAGAGCAAACTTTTCTTATTGATCTTCTTCTTGCAGTGTCGAAAAAAGACTGAAGTTAATTTAAGACGGAAAAAGTGATATTACCGTAGCGTTTGAAGAGACAACCGAATCTGAGACGTGGCAAGTTTGTGAGTTCTGTATTTACCTGCTTCTGCTGTACCTTTCTCGATGTTCCATAATTCCCGCTCCCTTCTCCTTAACTATCATCGCGACTTACTCTATCACGTCATTTGTTATCTGTAAGATCATTTTTTTTCCCCTCGAAACATTCTTCGACTGTGTCTGATTTGAATAAAACAACTGGTTATCCAGCACATTGGTCCAATTAATAGAATGTGTCTATATAAAATCGATGAAATCAGAGATGAAGAAATAAAATTAGAAATGATGATGATGTGTGGGTTCCACGACGACGTTAGCAGCTGTATGTTTGTTGGGAGGAAGTCACGGGACTTGTAGTCACGAGGATTTGAGTCACGGGACTCAGTGAAAGTGCCGAAGAGAGACAGAGGAAGGTCGCGTCCCTCTTTGTAGGTAACGAGTGAGCTAAGAGCCTCTGCTGTGCTCGTTCAGCATACAAAGTACTTTTTCTCATTTTACTCTCAATTCTTACTCTTAATCATTATTATCACTTTATGTTATAAAAAGACACACAAGATATCAAATTACATGAGAATTTTTAACTATAATGATAACAACTTTCCAACCGATTGTTCGTATGGTTTCCTAACTACATTTATTCACCCCTTAATGACCTTCTGGTTTTAGCTGTCCGCTCTTTTTTTAACCTCTAAATTTTGAAACAGCAAAAGGGAACGTATACGCATTGAACAGTAATCATTTTAATATTCGGTGCCAATCAAATCAAGCGATTGAATTGAAATGAGAAACCTTGAAAAACTATGCCGAATTCTGATGTGTTTTTAAAAGTTACGCTACGGCTGTTACACGTGATAAACAACACGTAAATAACGTATGTATGAATACACATATGTTGAAGATGAAATATAAGATGTAAAGTTTACCCGGATCTGTACTATTATCTTCTATTATCTATGTCCTACCAAGAGTATTAATTTTTACGCAATTTTTTATTGATTATACTTAACAGATGTACATGTTGTTTATGACATTTTATCGTATGATACCCTCAGAAATTTTTTTATAGTTTTTTAACACAGTTATTATCTTTTCTCCCCGATACTTCAAACAATGTAGCTTATAATTGTTAAGTATTTTTGCAGGTTTTTTTTATATTATCAAGTAATTAATTGTCCATGTTTATGCTTTTTATTATATTACATTGTACCCTCATCTTGTTTCCACTATTCCACTAAAGTTTTATTGTTTTTTAATAGGTGGGATTTTTGATAATAAATCTTTGTAGATCCGGTTCTTTAAAAGCAACTATATATATAATTCCAAGAAAAAATATCTCATCATTTTATCACTAAATAGATAAAGTTTATTTCATCGAAAGCGGATGTAAATGATTTTTAATTGAAAAATTTTTGATACTATCCGTTAAAATATTATATTGAATCTGTGATGTTTATAAATTTGAATATTTATTATCAAAAAACCAGATGGAAATGTCAACAAATTTTTTATCGATTGAAAAATGTTATCTACCGCGAGTTATCATACTAGTTTCTCTTTTTATCACAAGATGTTACTACGCTACAATTTTTACAGTTTCCTAACCTTTCACAACAAACAGAAATTAAAAAATTTTATAACAAATAAACATTAGAAAACAATTATAAAAAAATGATTTCTTTATCTCGGTTATCAATGTTCACTAGGAATTATTGTTTTAAAAGTATTTATTCATTAGAACAGTTATATCCAAAAGGTAACCCCAGATTGGTTACTCCAGAATTCGTAAGTCGTTTTGTTATTAATGTTTCCATAAACATGTATGATTTTTCATGGATAATTAAACTAATTTTATATTTTTTATGTTCAAAGGTACCAGAAGATCTAAATGTAAAATTTACTGGCTTTATTCCCATGAATCAACTCAAAATTACCTACTCTCATAGTAGTGGACCTGGAGGACAAAATGTCAACACTTCAAACTCAAAAGTAGATCTTCGGTTCAATGTTAAAAGTGCTACATGGATATCTGATGAAATAAAAGAGAAGTTATCAATTCAAGTAAGAAAGAATGCCTTTTATCGATTATTTATTTAATAAAACGAGCTTTTTATCGATGAGTGTAAATAACATTAATTCTACAGGAACGACACAGAATTAATAAGGAAGGATTTTTAGTCGTTAAATCAGAAGTCACCCGTCATCAACACCTAAACCTTGCTGATGCTTTAGAAAAATTACGAGCAATGATAAGAAAAACTGTTGCGTCCGATGATGTGACTGTTTCTCCAGAAAATGAAGAATTGAAAAGGAAACGACAAATAAAAGCAGCGCGGCAACGTATTTTTGAAAAACGAATGCGATCGGAAATTAAACAACACAGAAGAGTGTCTAATGCAGATATTGAATAAATCTTAAGCCATTTTGTCATACAATTATTTATAGAAAATAAATTGATAAAAATTATGTACATAGCAAGTTTGGTCTTGTAAATTATTTGCTCTTTATAATTCACTATCATGGCAATTGAAATTTTCTAATGAGAAATAAAATTTCTTATAGCGTTGTCAAGGAGATTAGGACACAACATTGACAGTCTGATTGTACAGTGTCTACAATACTTTTGGATTACTATGTGTTGTTTGTGATTTTCTTCTGAAATTCAATCAGAACAAAAAAAAATGTCTTGTAGAGATTTAAGAAGTACGTTAATTGTTTTGGTTATTTCAACAAATTTTTTATTATTTTTTACAGTATATATTCAACATTATTCCATTTTTAGAAGTGTGATTTATAAAAGTATAGAAACATTTTTATAGTACCTATTGGTTCATATAAATAAAATTATATAATAAGAAAAATCAAAGAATAAACTTTTTTTTACATATTTATTTGTATAATTAAATAACATAATTAAAAGTACATCACAGTTTGGTTTCAATAAAAATACTTCAATCTATTATAGACATACTCATATTATTTAAAATGAAACTTAGATCATAAAAGTTGATATAAAGTAAATGTTAATAAATAAAGTTCAACGTTTGAATTAAATGTAATTATTTCAGATTTTACCGAAACTATGAGGTTTCTAGGCTACCCAAGACTGATATCTTTATCAAATTTTCGAGTGCCGAATTTTTCTTTAGTGGCAGAAATTTTAGTTTGGTTAATTCACCGATTTGATCCAGATTCTGAGATTACTGCAGATTGTGACACTGTTGATGATAGAGTGTCTCTCATTAGAAGAGCTGCTGAGTTTATTGTAAGTTTATAAATAATTTTAAACTTTACTTTTATCAATAAAAATTAATCTATCAGAGTATTTTAAGGAATTTAATAAATTCATATTTTTCAGGCATTGAAAACAAATATTAAAGTAAATACAAAAAAATTATATCAAGCGGATGGATATGCTGTCCATGAGTTGTTGAAAATAGCCACAGCATTGTATGAAGCACAAAATAAAAATGCTGAAGAGGAAATACTGTCTGGTGAAGTGCGGCCTATTACAATAGATATAAGTGATCAATTAAGTGAATTAAAGAATACACGACAACTGGCCAGTCAATTAACAGTGAGTGGAGCAAGTCTTTTTGATCTTCTCGGAAGAGAAGTGCAGCTCCGAGAAATTCGTAACAACAAAGTTGCCAGACAATTTGATACGTCTGCTATTGAAGAAGCTTTGAAGGAAGTTATTGAGAGTATGAATAGAGAAGTGGCAGATACTAAGAGACAAATTGACAACGTCAAGGTAACAAGTCATATTTTGAACTATAGATAAAAATTTATCTTGTTCTTATTAGTGGCTTTAAAATGTTTTAATTAATTGTTAAAGTTTATGAACACATGCAAGTATGATATCTAATATTAAATTATAAATTATTGTAGGAAACAGAACAAACTTTAGATACGAAAATTGAGAGAAGACAAATAGAGTTAGATAGAAATAAAAAGAGACTTGGAACTCTACGTAAAGTTCGTCCAGCTTTTATGGAAGAATTCGAGAAACTAGAGCTTGAACTTCGAGCTGTTTATGATGATTACCTCCAAAAATGTCGTTACTTAGCATATTTGGAGCATCTCTATGAAGTAACAACAAAAGCAGAGCAAGAGAAATTCGAGCAAAGACAAGCAGCTACAAAGAGGCAATTGGAGCAAGTTCGTAGTGAAGATGCAGATTTTGAAGGGTTAATAGATAGCAACGACTCCATATTCACCAACAACCTTCGTAATCCTCTTAATCTTGAAAATCCAGAGAAGAATTTAGAGAAAACTGAAAACGCTGTGCTGCAAGGAATTAAAAGAGGTAAAAATAAAATAAATTATAAGTTGTGAGAATTTTTTAAATACTTTGGCTTGTTTTTACTTAATAGAAGCTACAGGACAGGGTTCAAGAATTCAATTAAATCAGAGAAGAATTTATGGTACGATGTCAGGAAGACAACGTGGACCTGTACGAGACTCAAATGATAGTCTTGGTTCATTAGATAGTGATAGTGATCTGCTAATAGATGGTGATCTTGATGATGATGACGACGACGATGATGACGATGACGATGATATTGGTGATGTACGCGATAACATTTTAAACTCAGTAGCAGTACGTGAGAAGACAGCTACATTAGACTTGAAAGGAAAGCCAGAGATAAGAGCCAAAAGTAAAATGGAACAAATTGATGAAGATTTTTAATGATTAATTAATCTTAATTACTTAATTTAGTTAATAGATTGTTAAGTTAATGAGTTTATATTAATTATAAATTAATTTAATCATCACAAATAGTGTTGATTTCCATGATGGCCCAAATTTATTTAAGCACCAGTATGAATAAAATTATTATGATTAATATAATTACGACACATTTTTTTTACATAAAATAGCTAAATTAATCTGTAATTGTGACGTAATTGCAACTGTTTATATATTTGCAATCTCAGGTGAATCTTTGTTAACTAAAATATATGCATTTTGTTGTTTAAGCATTTATGGTAAATTAGTATTATTGGCCATGAATATTGAGCAATTTTTAATTTTGATATTTACATATGAAATCAATTAGTACCAGTGAATTGATTACAGTTTAAAAAAATAATTAAAAACAATTAAAAATATTTTAAAAAATTCTAAAAATTACTGCGAATATTCTGTTGTAATTGTTGGCCGCAATATTTTTTATTCTATTTTCACAGCATTGAGCTTAATGACGTTTATTTTTATATCAATTTTTTAATATAGATATGCTTCAATACTTTGATAAGTCTCATTTTCTTTCGAATTATCATCGATGAAAAAAATGTGCTGTCGTGTTATAATGTTGATAAGAATTAGATCGTTATAAAATTTGGATGCTACCTCGTTTGTATATCATTTGGGCTACTTGGAACGAGTGGAGATAGCGCAGGAACTGCTTCAAGCTCAGGAAGAACACAATTTTCTTCAAGTTCCATCCATACTTTGTCTACTGCATCTGCTAATTTATCACGATATTTATAAGCAGTTCTATCTATTATTGATGGCGTTTTGACACAATCATCGCCACCAAATTCACAAACTCTGTAATGATGAAGTATTGCTGCATCTGCTGGAACATTAAGAGTTCCATGTCCAGCTAAAAACTCCCAGACAAAGTGATTGCCAGCTTCAACAATATCTCGTGGTTTACAAATATATTTAGAGCGTTGTTTGTGAGGATGAAGTTTTGATTTACGTCGTGTTTTTCTTAATGTGATGAGTCCAGCTTCAGTGGGTGTTTTACTAACTGTTATCCAAGGATCATCAGCCCACTGGAGGTAAAAAAATGCGTTTTGAAAGGAGAAGGCGCTACTAGTTTTAGGATTAACTTTACTAGATATCCAGCTGAAATTTAAATAAGTATTTTCATTTAAATATTAATACAGAAAAGTTAGCGTTGATGAAATTATTGAATAGAAACTCTTGATTTGTATTTATTCATTCCTCACTCTACTAAAATTTCTCCTATTTATTTAATGATAATATAATAATATTCATATTTTATTACCGTATAAGCTGCGGTATCGTATCATTATGCCGTGGAATAATAAATTCGTCAAGGTCCAAAAGAGCAATATATTCATATTTATACATGGATCTATATAAACAATCATTCAGCGCAGCAAACAAGTTTTCTGTCCGAATTTCACGCTGTGATATCATATCCAAACGATGCCAAGGCAGAAAACTGACAATTCCTTGGTTTTCATAATATTTCAGTGCACATCCGGCTTCTGTCCCGACTGTGTCATTGTAAAGAGTAAAATGACTCACTCCAAGGAGTCGATGAAGCTCGATAAATTCTATTAATTGTAAAACCTGTAACAAAGAATTTTATATATTGATTTTTCTTTCACGAAACGTCTCAGTTATTCTACAACAGCAGAAAGAAATAAGTTAAAAGCTTTTGTAAAAATTTTAAAACTTCCTTATCGTGCTCAATTTCCTTCCAAGACGCATTTATTAAAATCAATACCGTTTCTAAGGAAGAAATATTTTGGGGAAAACGTTGAAATACGTTGCTCTAGACTCTAGAGTCTTTTATTACAAAAGACACTTTTTTAAATTCTTCTTATAAATGAAATATATAAGCTGTTGTAAAGGAGGATAATAAATTGAATGTTAAGAAGGATGAAATTATTTAAAAAGAGATTAAACCCATCACAATGGTAATCCAGTGAATAGGCAAGTTAGAACAGTGCAGAAAAAGTTTTGATATATTATAATTTAACTCAATACATTAAGAAGTTTTTGACTTTCGAACTGAGAGCCATTGGTACTTAAGGTTAATTGGAGCATATTTTCTTTTAAGAGACTTTGATGTGAATTGAAATTATTGGTTAGCAAAAACTTTTTTTTACTTTTTATAATTTACTAAAGAAATTTAAGGTAGTAATTCGTTATTAATTTACTATCTATCAATTTTAAATGAAGAGACTCTAATAAAATCCTCCTTTTAAGAATCTATAAATAAATTTAATCCATTTGTATTAAAAACCTATTAAATAGAGTTTATTTCTGACGTTTTACTATTTTAGAATAAAATTTATTGTCAACTTACTCTGTTGTAATCATAATGAAGAGGCTTAACACAAATGGCAAGTTTACCCCTTGAAGTTGGTCTGTCCTTTGGACGATTTTGAATGAAAATTCGATTTGTTGGTAATGTGCGCAATTTAGCAACAACACTAACAGCTTCTGGGGTTAATGTAGCTTTTGGATCTGGTGATTCAATGGGTGGTACTGGCGGTAATGGACAAATAACAAAGCAAGCACTGTATTTTAAGCTCCAATTCTCTCGTATAACTTTTATCTTTGCTGCAACTGTAACTGAAGCAGTAATGTTTGTTGCGTTTCGTTCAACACGATACCATAATCTACACCATACTCCATCTGGAGTCTTGGTTTTTGTAGCACCGATAATTCGTATTAAGCCAGGAGATTTATTTGATGATTTCCCCTTTTGTTTGAATGATATTTGCCCACTATTAGAGTTGAATATCCCTCTACCGCTGATGACTCTATCATCATAATATGCTGAGTATACGAAGAATTTGTATCTGAAACAAAAAAACAAAATAAAAACAATTAATGAAATTTGTAATGATTTCATTAAATTCAATTTGTCTATTCGTTTAAATTTAATAAGGATAAATTCGGAAATAAATGCTTCAATAAATTGAGTTTCGTTAGTTTGTTTGTAAACTTTAGAACTATTTTATTATCCAGTGTAATCAGATCAAATCCTACTAAAAACTTTTCTAATAGTTTTTTTTTGATCGGAAATGTATATTTAGTGTCAATTCAGCAAAAATAAATTCAACAAAATATAACTAAATAAATTAGTGGAAGTAATTATTGATTAAATCAATTAAATGTGCTGATTTAATGGTAGAAAATATTTATTTATCAAATTAGTCGGATGCGGTTGAGCTATTTGATAATAGATATCTAAATCAACATGAGAAAATTCAATTTCTTCATGCGCCTGTATATGATTAATAAGCAGATCAACTGAACTTTAGAAAGTTTCGATTACATCATTTGTTTGGAAGATATTGTTAATCAGAGATTTATATATTTTTTAAGTAATGGAGAAAGTTTTAAGCTAGGTTGGTTTGTAGTTTAATCGCCCTTAAAATAAATCAGAATCTATTACATCGACACTTGGAGCTTTAATAAAAATCAATTATGTCACTTATTGATGAAAAATTATGGATACTAAATTTGCGCAAATAAATATATTAATAAAATAGCTTCAAGCTCTTCAAAATGAAAAGAATGAAAGATTCTGGGATTTAAAGAATATTTTATGTCATATTTTCAATCATATTATATTAAGTTAATTCTATCCATATCTTTCGAAGTTTACTTAGAGAAATGGAATAGATTTATAAAAATGTAATATTTTATTTATATAATATGAATATTACATAGTTTCTGTAGAGTGAGAACTGACATGACATTTTTTGATATTTGATAAAATCATCTTGTGAAACAACAATGTATTCCCGGTCACATTTTTTCACTGTGATTTAATCAATATTTTTGATAAATAATGCATGAATAATAATAATTATTATTGTCATGAGTTTTATCTAAACAAAATATTTTCTGTTGATCTACCGAGATATTTCATCAAATATTGTCTTGATAAACCGAATAATATTGAGAGTTCTATTTTTATGTTTATATCTCTTTCATTTTTAATTCCACCTAGTCCTCATTTTTATTTTTAGATGATAAAAAATGAATAGCAGTGACATTAAAAGCAAATGTAATTTATTCAGACACTAATTTGAGCAATTAACTTACTAAGTCCATGAAGAATTGCTTAAACTATCTAGATTAAAAATCTATGTGATAAGATATACCTGGTATTCGTGACTGGAAGCCATTCTGCATCGGTCATTGGTAAATTTTGATCAAGAGCTGGTAATTTAAGCTCAACGCTTGGTGGTAGACTCGACAAACTTCGTGGATCGGATGGAATAGATTCAATAGCTTTGGACTCAGCATTACTATTCATCAAAAGCAAACCAATTTGTGCATCGAATCCTCCTTTCAAGGTTGCGTAATCATCAGCTATAACTTCTTCATAATCCGGTCGATCGAGCGATGACGTAAGACGATGCCCGCTTCTGTGGCCACCAAAAGCACCTGTTCCTCCATTCCCACGTTTCTCATCAATGAGAAATATTTCTGTCAAGACAATTACTCCAAATACTGCAAAAAACATAACTACCAACATGAAAGACATATTGGCTCTGTCTTTTAGCACGCCAGCATTTGAACGTCCGAAACTCATGGTTGAGATACTAGATCCGCTTCCACTAGAAACTATTCCTGGGCCAGTTCTTCTTGTTCCCATCCTCTGCTTTCAGATCTTGATTACAAACAATGAGTATTATATAAATAATCATCCATTGTTAGATGGATATAATAAAATTATCTATGCATTACTCACTTATTTATTGGCGATCATGTGAGGATGCTTGTTGATTCTATTGTAGATATTCTATCATCATCCTTTGTTATTCTATAACAGATTAAAAAATATGATAAATAATGATTAATGACAATGTATCCTTCTGGCTGATAGAATATCAAATATTGGTACTAATAATCGAAACAGTGGTTGGTATTTCTGTACAAGCGATGATCATGTTTCACGAAAATGTATCGTGCTCAATTATATAATACGTAAATTATTCATCCAATATTCATCACAATTGGAAAAATTGTTATCATGATGACAAATATTTTCATAACAAGTTTTCTAAAAATAAACACAATCACTTGTATAAAAACTTGAAAAAACGTTTTTTTTTCATGTAAAATCGTTTCGAGTATTTTTACATTTGTACTAGATTTGTTAGAGCATTGAATGAATAATGTAACCGTCGTTATTGGAAATTTCCAATTGAATTTGTTGCCCAACTTCTTTTCGAAACAAACATATTCGTAAAAGTTGAGATTTTTAAAAATTTTCTATCGATCTATGAAAGGAATATTTTTTTACATATTTTTGTATACATTTTGCAACTAACAAGGTTTGGAATATTTTCATACATATATGAATGTGTTTGTTTGTCTTTTTCCTTCATAAACTTTCTCTCTGAAAACGTTTTAAAAAACATGAAAAAGCGAAATGGATAACACAGAGACTACCTTGAGATACTATGATAGCTGTTTTATTATTTTTACATTAGAATGTTGTATCACTCGTGAAGAACTTGTTGAAAAAACATAAAGAAAACAAACTTTGTTTGTTCAATACTTCTTTCAAAATTTTGTGATGATAGTTTTGCAAGTCAACTATTTTTAAATTGAGTTATGGACACAAAAAAAAATTTCAACTTTAAGGAATATTTAATTTTATGTAGTATTCTGAATATTGAAAAAATATGCTTTTGGTAGTAATTAAAAATTCAGTTACTGTAATAACTATGTAAATGCCATTATTAAAATAATTAAAATATATTTTCTGGAGAAAGTTCACTGAAATCATTGTATTTTCTTAAAAATTTCATTAACATATAAGTCAAATACACCAGGAAAAATAAATACGAATTTATCTATCAGTTTAATTATCCACATAATTCGATAACGAAAGTGATGTATGTTATGAATTAATTAGTTTAAATGAACTTGTTATAAAGTAAAAGTGATAGTAAAATGTTCCACACACTCATCTTTCATCTAATTAATAATTTTTCACGAAGCAACATGTTAAATGAGAGCTCCTCGTGTTTCACCAATGTGCTAATTAATTTTTATTGTATCTTCTTTTTAGTTTATTATGAATAATTTGAATGCTAACACTATTATACAAGATCCTACTTTCGTTTTCATTATAGTATCAACAAGCTGAAAAACAACTTTAGCAAATAAGTTGAATATTTATCATTAAATATCAAAAAAAATATCTAGATAATTTTCTTCAGTTAATTGTGTGTTTGTTCATTTCAACTAACGAATACCATACCCCTGACGATCGATTTAATTTCCTCTTAAAATTATTCTGTTTGACACTCTTATCCTTAATTCATTGCTCCTTGACGTTTTTTTTTTCTTTCTAAAATGTGACTTTCATTGATCGAATAATGTACTTGAATATCAACTCGAAGGGAAGTCAAAGAAATAAGCAATAATTTACATAGATTAATCATTATCTAATCAAATATTAAACCAAATACTCACGATTGTTGGCAATATTTCATTGTACTAGGTCGTGCCAACTTGTGCTTAGTTGATACATTGGTAATTATTAATAAATAAATTTACTGTCATCAGATTTTTTTGCAACATTTCAGTAATTATTCATCATTGTTTTACATTTTTGTTTTTATCCTCTATTATTTTCACCACGTTTGAACTTATACAAAAATTTAGCTAAAATAAAAAGTAGTAAAAAAATGTTTATACTTCACTAGATAATAAATGTTTGCAATAAATTTGTTTATGTATGGAACAAACGTTAATCACAGCAATATTATATAAATTCTATGTTGGGTAGTTCTCAGAACCGTTGTTAGCACGTTAACGCTACGATTCTTTACTCTGTAGTAAATATATTTTGTATTGTATACTTAATCACCGAAAAATACAGATGCGCAAGCGTCATCCGACGAATCGATTTTACGAATGTGCAGATGAATTTAGCATGCGACCGTTATTTGAGTTTCTAGATATCATTATTGGAATATATCGTTCAATTTTTTTATTCATTATCGAATATTACAAAATTTTTATTCATTAAAAATGTTAGAAAAAAAATCCCAACTGTCATCATTATCACCAGACATTAAAATATTATTCTTAGGCTTTTGATGTTTCATTTGAAAAAATGCGGTATAATCACAAGTAGTAGGACGAAGGGAATCTTCTAGTTCAGGAGAATATTGCGGTTTAATTCCATAGTAAGATTCAATAAAATTTTGTGCTTTGTCTTCTTTTAAACAATTAAAAAGCATCCGTTCATCATAGGGGAGTACTTTTTCCAACATAAAAATGAGATGGTGGTGAAACGTCAAGAAATTGGTAGGAATAATTGATGTGATATTAAGCCAGTCTTGAACACAGGAGATTGGGGTTACTGAAGTACCAGTAAAAAGTGCTGGATTTTTTAAAAGTCCATTTGCCACCATGACCCCTTGGCATTTTGATTCTTCATATAGATGTTCAGCTTCCCTTAGGGACTTGACATTACCATTAGCAATGATAGGGATCTTGACGCAGTCACGAACTAATTTAAGACCCTCTAAGTCAATTGGTTCTTTTCTCATTTGTGGTGTTCGTGCATGAACTGTCAAAAATGATACACCAGCATGTTCCAAAATTTGACAAAATTGTATACTTTTTTTAATGTCTTTTAATAAACGTATTTTGACAGACACTGTAAATGGAGCAGAAATACGATTCTTTACTTGGCGTACTAGATCTTTGACTAATTCAGGTTTTTCTAATAAACTTGCTCCATATCCATCATGCATTGCCCAACGTTGAGGACATCCACAGTTTAAATCTACTCCATTGCAGTAGCTATTGTAGATCGGAATAAAAAATGTCTATCTGTATATTTTTTGAAAACTATAAGTAATTTATATTACTCACGGTGCAACTAATTCTGTTGCATCAGCAAAATCAATAGGATCCTTAGCCGCAAATTGTACTATTAGAGGTTTATCTTCCGAATTAGTTGTGAATTCGTTTTCTCTTGCTTCAGCAGATTGGACAAATGAGTTAGCCAAGATCATGGGAGTAAAACAAATATCGCAGTTGTATCGTCTTACGAGTGATCGAAAAGGTAATCTAGGACAATAAAATATATGAATTAAAGAAAAAAAAAAGTTAATTATTCATTTAGTAAATAAAATAAAAATTATTCGACGTACTTGCTGTATCGAACCATCGGTGCACATATTTTTGTCATTTCTGGCGCACGTAATATTTCTAAAACATCTGTTGACATTTTGCATTATTGATGAACAAACAATTTTATTCTAAATAAAGCTATTTGTTTTAAGTCAAAATGTGTACTGAAATAACAATAACTTCCTGGTGAACTGGCGGCTTATCTCTAACCTAAAAAATTAGTTATAAAAAAAGTATTAATGACAGAGCAATTAATAAAAATAATATATAATATTTTTATAAAAAAAACCTATGTGACAATTTTCGTTTATTATCATAAATTAATTCACTCGTGATTGTACTCTCACGCAAATTTATTAAAATTTCAAATTGTCACAGAACTTTGCACAAGCTTTTTAATTGTTTTCTTCAAAGGTTCCTTCATTATTAACTGTTGTATCGATTATCAACTGTCGCTTGTGTGATGTTCTCCAAAATGTCGCTAGTATCATTCAGCGAAATCAGAAAAATGTATTCTCACTCATCAAAATAATCTATAACAAACTTGAAAAGAAAAGGTCCTTATTAACGTGCATTATTTTTACAGTAGTTACTGAACATTGAATCACAATGGTAAGTTCCCAAAAAATAAATCTCTATTTTAAATGTAATTATTTGAAGATTCTTGTGAAAAAAACGAATCTTCCTGTGAACAATAGTGTTTAAAGAGAGGTTATGATAGAAATGCAATGTCATTCACATTTAAACAAACTCCAAAATTAATAAAGCATTAATAATAAAAAACTAAATGGTTTTTAGGCTCGTAGATATGATACACGAACTACAATTTTCTCCCCGGAAGGGCGTTTATATCAAGTGGAATATGCCATGGAAGCTATCAGTCATGCCGGGACTTGTCTTGGAATCCTTGCAAATGATGGAATACTTTTAGCAGCCGAAAGAAGAAATACAAATAAACTTCTAGATGAAGTATTTTTTTCTGAAAAAATTTATAAACTTAATGACGATGTTGTTTGCTCAGTGGCTGGTATAACATCTGACGCTAACGTCTTAACGAATGAACTTAGATTAATTGGTCAACGTTATTTACTCCAATACGGTGAAACAATACCATGTGAACAACTTGTCTCTTGGTTATGTGATGTTAAACAAGCATACACTCAATTTGGTGGTAAAAGACCATTTGGTGTATCCATTCTTTATATGGGATGGGACAAACACTACGGCTACCAATTATATCAGTCTGATCCCAGCGGTAATTACGGTGGCTGGAAAGCAACATGTATAGGAAATAATTCAGCTGCGGCAATTTCTTCATTGAAACAAGAATACAAAGAAGGTGAAACTACTTTGAAAGACGCTCAAGCTCTTGCAATTAAAGTCTTGTCGAAAACTCTTGACATGACGAAACTTACTGCTGAAAAAGGTTTATTATATTTTGATTTGTAATTAAATTTATTTTTGATAACAGATTACTTAAATTTATTTTGCTTTATAGTGGAAATGGCAACACTAACGCGGGAAAATGGTAAAACAATTACACGAATTTTACCTGCAGCTGAAGTGACAGCACTGATTGAAGAACATGATCGATTAGAAGCACTCGCAGAACAAGCGAAAAAAGAAAAGCAGAAGATTTAATCTTTTATGAAATAAATAATTGCACTGTGGCGTGTATTATTTTAGGATTATACACAGAACAGTATCCTGATAAGTAAAACTATTAATTTTTTCATTTCATATAAAATAAAATAACATTTATTAAATTGCTTATTTATATACATATTTAAAAAAGAAACAAAAAACATTTTTAACATTGAGTCCCATTTCCCCCAAAGAGTGTTTATAAATGTAATAAAAATAACTTCTACCGTATTAATCTCGACCAGTAACGGATAATTATGAACTATTTGCTATATTTTCCTGAATCAAGTCACCAACCATGTGACCAACTTCTTTGGAATGAGTAAGTACGAAAGCATGGCGAAAACCAAGTTGACAAAGCTGAGCATTTATATTCGGATACTTTTCTTTCAATTCACGGTAATAATTATGTGGAGTCCACCGATCAGTTGCTCCATAATAGAACCATAATTTATCATTATGTTTCACAACTGCTTCATGATCTATTTCTTTTACTCGTTTCATTTCGTCATTTGCTAATCGAAACACTCTTTCTAATACTGATGGATGTAGAAGCTGTTGTACAGGTTTAACGCTTTCTCTCGTTATTCCAAGAAATATACCAAAAATTTGAATTAAAAAGACTTGGAGTAATGATGGAAAAAATGAAAATATCCATGCTAAGAATACTAAAACTTTAGCAATCCTTAATACCTGTAACAAAAATCAGTGTAAGTTGTATTATGGAAATTTTTTAGAATCATTATAATTACTTGTAAAAGTAAATTATTAAAAAAATTATAAGACAGTAGTGCAATTGTTTAGATGAAGAAATAAGAAAAATGATGAATATTTAAAATAAAGAGTAATTAAAGCGGTTAACTTACAACATTTGTCAGGAATTTCCCATTAGGAGTTTCAGCCATTCTTTCTACAGTAGGAAAGAGTAAATAACATTTAACAACTCGACTAGCAAATTCTGGATCCTTTAATAATTGCAGAATCATCCAGCTTCCTATGGAATGCCCTATGAGATGAATTCTTGCATCTTTAGGAACATATTGTTTAATAAATGCCACCTTTAATAATAATTAAATATTGCTATTGATTTTTAATGAAAAAAAATGTAGTTCATAAATGATAGGTATTACCTTGTGGTTTACTTGACCATCTAAATTATATAACTCTTTGTTGGAGCTAGTGTTTGGAAGAAAACTTAAATTATCTGAAGGTTGAACATGTCCAGCATGGCCCACCACCCAAACTGGAGTTTCAGGCGGTAGTCTTGACTTTAATGCTTTGATAAATGCCATATAAAAGCTTGGTACCCCAGGATTACCTGGGATTACGATAACAAGATCCTTGCAACCAGTAGGAGCAAGACCTTCTTCAACCCAACGGCCTTCAGTAATGACGTGTGTTTGGATTCCATTACATTGTAGCATTGCCTGCTGCATTCTGGCACGTATAGTTACTGTAATTTAAATGAATTATTTATGAAATTTCTCTCTAGATATTTTTTACAATAACTTTAAATAAATAACTTTATACAGATGATGAAGTTCAAATGGTTATTAAATTGCTAAGAATAATTATTATGCTTAAAAATGAGTGTAAGCAACAAAATGTTTATACAATTCTATTTGCCAATCGATGAAATTGATTCTTTCATTATTTGAAAGTTTAATTTTATTGAAACAATATTATGCATATCTTTTTTACAAAACACATGTTAATAAATGTTGTTCTAAATTTATAAATACTGATAGTTATTAGACTTACCAAACTTATGTTCATGTATATGCTTCAACCTTTGAATTATTCCTTTTATTCTATTGCAGTTTTCGAGCGATGATAAAAAGTGTGCTCTTTTTGCTCTATTGCGCATGCGCTGTAGTTGATCAGCTGGTTAAAGTCTGAAATTTATAATGTTGTTATAAAAATTAAATCAATATTTTTTACCATTTTTATAGTGAGTCATGGATTAATATTACTACAGTATATAATAATAATAAAAAAAATGGTAAATTTAACAAGAGACTGATGTTAAAAAGATATTCGCTATCTTACCTTCTATACGCCGAAATAGCTCAGTTGGGAGAGCGTTAGACTGAAGATCTAAATGTCCCCGGTTCAATCCCGGGTTTCGGCAAACTTTCTTTTTTATTTCATTTACAAATAATACGAGATAAACAAGCAAACTACCTGTTGAGTAATAAATAACAATATTTTTATTTAATTATCGTATGTTTATTTATAATACATGTGTCGATATGCGAAAAGATAAACAATGATAAATTATGATAATTTAGGTTATGTAAATTTCATAAAACTTGTTTCTATCACTTCGCAAAGTGATCGCACATAAATTAGATATTGTTTATTTATTAAGTTGTTGTAACCTTGCAATATAACAATGACATATAATGAAATCATTTTATTAATCTAATCGATACGTTTATGCAAAACTCAGTGTGTAGTACATTGCTTCGAGATAAAAGACACTGTGTAAACAGATATTCAAAAACTGAGTGTTTTTAACAATGAAAGTTAAAAATAAAATTCTAAAAAATAATTCATATGATTCATGAACGACGTTTAAATATCATAAAGATTAGATATAATAAATATAAAGTACAAAATTCGAAATATCTTGCCCATCGACAGTCACAAGTGTTATAGATGTGCTACCGAAACTCTCAACAAATAGATTTAATTCGGTAATTAATTTTTAAGGCGCCAAGCTAATATTTATACTCCTTCATGTGGAATTACTCAGGTGTATTAACCGACTCATAAACGATTACATTTAAGGAATTGATTATCGAATAAAATTTATTGCACGGTCTCTCGATCAAAAATCAACACAATGACATGAAGAGTACATCTATAATCTAGACCATCATAAATCTATAAAAATAAAAATTACTCGTTATAAAATTCTATACTATAAAACTACATCATAAACGAATTAAATAATTGAAAAAAAATCACTTTATTGTTGAATTTTTAAGATTTTTTTATGTTTGCTTCATTCATATCATGATAAAGGTAAAAATGCTCAGATTGTTTTGTTATTAACCTACAAATAATTATTCCAATAACCACACCAAAAATATCGTTAAATTAATAGGTTATTTATGACAAAACTGACACGTTGAAATCAAAATAATTTTTTAATGGGTGGAGTTTCTAAGAATGGGTTGTATCTTTAGCAAAATGAGGAGAAAAATAGTCGTGGTCTCTGTAAAAACGCCCATCAGGGGGCAGGTCTTCCCCTTAGTTGTAGTACATTATACGACCGTTTGGTGGGGGTTTAGCGAAACGACACCACTTATTGCAGTCACAATTGAACCGTCGGGCGGGTAACATGTTTTACCGTTCGGCAATTCTGTTTATTCACTTCAAACTAAGTATAATTCACTATTTTTATGTTGTTCCAATGATTGATCAACAATAATTCATGTTGTAACATAAACGAGTCAAAAATTAAAGGGAATATACTAGTGTTAGCATTGAAAGACGTAATAGATGCTTTCGAATACCGTCGGATACTTTCTATTGTAATTTTATTCTTGTGAATGTTAGACAAAACTTTTACATGAATTTATAATGGTGAACAGTTGCAAATATTGACTAAAGTGAAGGTATTCAGTGAGAGAAACTAGAGTGAGTAAAATTAACAGTGAAAAGATAAGGCTAGAGGTTAGAGTGTGGATACGGTAACCTCTCTTTAAGCACACGACCAGCCGGCGCCCATAATTAAAGGGAATATAACCGAAGCTCGACTGTTGGATTTGACGTTCTGGAAGTTCCTGGAAGTAACTCGGTAAAATTTACTTTTTTATCAGTAACTGAAAATAAAAAAGTTTATTTCATCAAAACTCGTTACTCCGTTCAATTTTACACCTAAATGAAATATCTTTATGATTTTTATTCAATTTCAATGGCTCTCTTAGACGTTTCTGTATGATTAAATCCAAATAAACGGTTTAATCAAGTGCATAACGCCGAAATGCGAATGTACAAGTACGTGACGATTATCGTAATAAAGTCTACGAAGAGAATTTAACGACTTGGAATCTCGCACGTGTTTAATTAAATTGGGATAAAGATGTAGACCGACGGAAGAAGACAGTGTGTGGCCGGGAAATTTCCCGATAACCTCATTTAAAATAGTGAACTGTGTTGTTATGTTGTTTTTGCTTTTTCTGTTGGTTTAAACTCATTGTTCGTTTATTTGTGAGTTTGGTTTATACAAGACATATAATATATTGGTGCAAAAAAATTATGATGATAAGTATGTGAGTTTCTTTGGAGACAAGTGTGTAATATAAAGAAAAAAAGTTTCATCTCTGGAGTAAAGCTTTTTCAAGTCACATATTCATTTGAGGATATTCTGCGAGTTCCTCTTGAGAAACAAGTGTAGCGGGATGATAACCCGCATCCAACAATCAATCGCCTAGTCATCACAGTGGAGTTCTGCTTTATTGCTGGTAAGTTATAAGAAACTACTCATTATTAGTGGTAGTCCATTATAATCTAACGTTTTGTTCCTCGAAATCAAATATAAACATAATATTGTGTCAATATTAGACGAAAACACTGGTCGATACTAATTAAATGTAAAATACGCTTTGTACGTATGTAAACAAAGGTAGCACGTACACATATTTTCTGAATCCATAGTACAGTCGAGATTGGAGCAAATGCTTCAATTCACTGTAAAAAAATACAGCTGTGTGAAAGACTGTTTTCGATTCAATCGTTTTTCATAGAAAGTATCAAAAAATTAATACATGTGTGGTGCTACTTCTGAACACTTCATTATTTATGGTTGTTTTCTTAAAAGTGAATTACAGAGACAAAAATTAATCTCCGAATTACCGCTTTTGCAAGAATAAAAATTCAGTAATCGAGTACGATGGAAATAAAAAGTGGTTAATAATTTAACAGTATTGATTTTGTTAGTAATTAACAAACTATTACGAACTGATGATAAAGTGAAATATTTGCTCTCAATCAAGCCATTTTTTTCATTTTCTCCTGAATCAATAAATAAAGAGTTATTAAATATAGATGATAATAGAAAAAAATTGTTTATAAATGAAAGAGATTGTATTTTATTCAAAATCTTTTGCTCCAATTATTGATAAAAAATTGGCTTCTTTTATTCTTTAACAGATGTATATTTATTTTCTCATCACAATTCATGAAAAAGATTATTAATTTATCTATGAACAGTAAACTATAGCTTTTTCATAACTTGTATTTTATTTTTTTTTGGAATAACATCAAAAATATGCTAACAAGACATTATTTTAGATATATTAGGGAATAATTATGCAATTACCGCATAATTATTACAACTTTTATTCCAAAACCTTCAAGATGAAAATTATTAGCATTTAAAATCTAAATCGGCTGCTTAGTTTGAATAAATTAAGTAAAAATGGTAAAAACAAAAGTAAATAAGTCTTTAAGGACATGACAGTAGATATAATTTCGAAAGGAGGGGGAATTCCTAGTAAAGCCGGAAAGATGTTTTGGAGTTATACCTGTCGTAAGACTACGTAGTGACTATGAGGTACCTGCGGTCAGTAAAAGGATCAGAAAATCGGGCTTTCGAATATGAGAATATGGATGAGAGAGAAGGAAAGGAGTGACCGTTCCACTGGTCTTTTCCTTTATGCCAAGGAGAACCGGTTCCAACCAATAGCTATAAAGCTTCGCTAAAATTCCACCAATCTCCGTTAGCCTTTTAGTCGTTGCTTATTCAGCATCTCACCCTTGTCTTTATCCTAATCCTACTTTCTACATGTTGCAAATTCATTTATTTCTTTTCTCTTGTATCAATTACACATTTAGGAATTTTTTCTATAAGTCTGCAAGTTTGTTTGAATGAAACTTTTCCTTTACAAAAAGTTCTTTAGTTGATACCCGTTTTACATTATACCTGAAGTACTTGTAGGTTTCATCCTCGAATATTTTAAAGTGTAATAAAAATCTGTGAATTTACAGCTTTTACAAATTCCTAAATCATTACTAGTTGCATAAACATTCAGATTGAATGAATGAATGAACGAGAAATGACAATTGAAACAAGTTTACTTTTACACTTACTCCTACAATCAAGTTGTTATGTTGATGAAAAAGAAGGATAGAATATTTTCTTTAATTAAATATTTTTTATGGCCTTCATGTAATTGTTATTATTATGAATGAGTTGATAAAAGTTTGAAAAAAAAATTATCAAATATTGTTGAATGAATTGAAAATGTAATTCTTTATGTTCTGTAGGAGTACTTTTATCGTTTTGAGTTAATGTTTTAAAAAAGTTTATTTTACGTAATGTTTATCAAAGAGATCAATGAACTATCATTTTAATATATTCAAAAATCTTTTCCTTATGGAAATATGTTTGTTTATGATGACAAAAATAGCATTCATGATGACAGTATTGTGGTTTTCTTGTGATTCATGAGAAATTTTTTTTGTTGTCACAGAAAAGAGGATGAAATATTATCTAAGTTTGATTATAAAGGGTGTAGTAGAGGGTGTTATGATATGATCAAGGCACCAAAACTTTATTTTTGGAATGACAAATTAACCACAACTTCATTTCAAATTGGATGCTCATAGCTTCTTTCGCATCTTTATTTTTGGTCCAATAAAATACCTGGAATGAACGAAAAATGTCACAAAAAAATATTTGTTTTCTTTCTTTTGAATAAATTTATGTCTCATTGACATTGACCTAGACTTTACACTAGCCATAGTGACGTAATGTATCTTTCTGGCTCGTTATATAGAAAGTAAAGTAGTGTCGTGTATAAACGTAACATTTTTCACGTAAATTATACGTTATAAAGGTTGATAGTCACTGTTGCGCTTGTCAAGGAATTGAGTTCTGGCTCGACCGACCGAACACTACGGGATCGTCGATCATTTCAGGGATGCGGTTCCTCCTCTCGGCCTCTCTGATGGTTCTTGTCCCGTCACGAGGTCAGATTAACCCTCATTTTGAATCGCCGTTTCTCTGGTTCTTTCCTTTTCTCTCTTCATCTATTGTCATTTCTCTCTTTCTCTAACGTTTCAGAGTCCCGACCAAAAAAAAATAGGAATAAACTATAGCTTATAAACGTTTGTGTCCATTTACTCTTTGGCTGGAAAATTTCTACAAAATATTCTGAAAGCTTTTCTGGGTATTTTTTCCTTGGTTTTATGGTAAACATTGTTTTAATTTTTTTTTACATTTTTAAATTGTAATTATCAGAAAAATAAGTATCTTGTATATAATATTTTTTTATTTTTATCATTTGTTCTTAAGTAATTATTTTAAATAGCTTGAGTTGTGATTTTCACAACAATGTTATATTATTTTTAATTATTAATACCTCTAGGTTTGCAAAAAAATGTAAATGTAATTCTCCTATAATTGATTTAGAAAATCGTTTTAAATTTATTTTTGTCAATTAAAAAGAATTTTTTTTTTTAATCGAATTTCACTGAAGCAGAAACAAATTTACAGTTTGAACTGCTAAGTTGGAAACAATTCATCTTTTTTGCAATATAATGTAAAAAAAAAACAAATAACAAAAAATGAAATGAAATATTCAACGTTACAAATTTAATCCGTTTATTCCATTGAAATTCATTGTTTCGAAATATTTTTCGAATACAAACACTCCTATTTACTGTTGCTTATCTCCAAAATGTAGACGAAAATAAAAATAATAAATTTGATTCTTCAAAAATATAAAATATTAAAAAAAAAAATGTATAAACCTGTTGATGTGTCGATTGCTAAAATTTTAATAATAGAAAATTAATTAAAAATAATTAACTTGAGATATTATCTTTAATGGACGTAATAATTTATGTGCCAAGCAGTCATCAATATATGATTATCCCAATGGTATTTTCATTATTCTTACATACGATGAAAGAAAAGAATAATTTAACCACGTCGAAGCTTATGAGTTTGACTGCAAAATGTACAAGTAATTTACTAGAGTTGCATTTAAGATGAGATTTGTAAGGATAACGGGAAAAATGCCTCATTACCGGTATTACGTCAACTAATTAGCAATTAAGCAGGCAGGAGTCGGTGTGACTGAAAATAATCAGGAAGGCATCTCCTTCATCCTCGTCATTTTTTTAATGTCTGCTTCGTTTAATTCACTTGTCCTCACAACACCTGAAGATGAATTCTAAATAATAATAGGGTCGTGGCGCACATCTTTTCTTAGGTTCCATGAGCAAGCAAACTCAGCTGATGATCATTTATTTTTTTTTATACCTCTGTGTTGTTTACGATTGGTCTACAGACTCTCATATAATTTTGTCATAAAAATTTTTACGTAGGCATATATCTAAAAAAAATATTTAAAAAAAACTTACCAAAGGCGTGTATTATATCGCTGTGGTAGTCTTTTCTACTGGCCAATTAAATAGAATGGCATAACGAGCGAGGAGTAACCTAGTTGTGCATTTTATCTAAGATCAAACTGCGTGGCGTGCGAACTTGTGAGTCGATCTCATATCTTACTGGCGCCGCGTCTTCCATATAACCTTTTCATTTGTCAATTTTAACGAAAATCTCCAGCTGAATCGTCTCCATCCTTTTTCTACAGGCGATGATAATAAAGTTGATTAAATAGCTTTATCCTGCTTCTACACATGATATATACGTGGTGAAGTATTGTGCATGCATGCATTGTTCACATTATAGTACAGTTTAGACTGTGATTAACAGGTTAGAGGTTTCATATTCTAATGTGCGTGCAGCTCACTGACGCGATGAGTACGCTTTGCACTTGCTTTAAACTGACCGATGATTCGATAACGTCCACTTACCCTCTAGCAAGGGAAGGGTGATAATGCGTGAGGTTGGATGCTCCTTTCGGACCTTCCCTTGAGGTACTTTTCCACCCTCAACACGCTACTCTGAGTTAACGTGGCCGATTTTATGCTACGGATATAAATAAAAATGAAGTGCGAGTAGAATATCAAGATTTCTCCTTTACGTCTTAGGTGTTGGAAGATAAGAAGCACGCTTTTTCGATTTGCTTTTAATTTAAGACGTTTGGTGACATGCATTCTGAAATTTATTATAAAAAATTCATTTTTTTATTTGTCCTAGAAAGATTGGGAGTGGTTTTTCACTTATTTGTAATAATGAACAATTATATTTTGTTCTTGAAATTAATTCATCTTTTTGATATTTTTTAATTGTGATTATTCGATAATGTTACAAGTAAAAAAGTTAGAAAATTACGATCATCTCTGTCAGAATTTTATTAAGTCGTGAGTAATTTGCTTATTTTTTTTTGCATTACATTCATGATAGTATATTAAAATATGAGTACAACATTTTCTCACAATATTCATTTCAAAATACATAATTATGATAAAATAGCTTTCATTTAGAGATAATTCTTGTTTAATGCCTTAATAAAGAAAATCTCGATTATTGATATGGCTTAAATGTTCA